GAGTATCGAAACATATCTATCATAAAAATCATTATGAACTGGTCGGATATTTTTCAGAAATCTTTCAGAATCTTTCATAGAAAATGACACTTCATGGCATTTTAATTTACAGGACCCGCCAATGTCGATTACATTTTCATTCCTGTTGGTGTCTTTATGGTGGTGGAAAACGTAATATCTATCGGATTGTTGTATAACAGTGCTCGCCTAAGTTTCCAAATCCAGATAATATCTCTCAACTTGGCTTTGTCTGATTTGCTGACGGGACTTTCCATTAGCATACCAAATGGCATACTTTATAAGAACAATCACTGCAATATCAAGAAGTACCTGGCTTTCCCCTTCACCACCGTGACACTTTTTACTATCACCCCATGATGAATATGGATCGGTGCTGTATATTTATTTTAGCCATGAGATACTACTGTCATAACAAGGAACCTGGTGCTAAAAGTTTCGATTGTATCATGGGTATTAGGATTGATCATGATTTACGGTCTGTTCTTTGATTTTATGAACAAATACGGTATCTCATGCCAAGTAATGGCGTACGTAAAGAGAAATGCAGTAACCTTGACTTGGCAGATGTATCCTTTTAACCATTGTGGCTTTCAATCTCATCCTGTTTGTTTACATGATTTATCAAATTCGTCGTAGACTGGGTCGATCCATGGGCACAAAAGACACTGCTCAGTCTACCGTGTTTGTCAGAGAGCAGGCAAGAATTACTAGAAAAATGTCCATCATCACTGGTGTGTTTCTGATGGCATTTATTCCTTTCATGATTATTTATACATTTCCATTTGATTTTGAATCGAAAATCGTGGTACAGATTTACACAACTTCTCTGACGATGGTACTTTTCAACAGCGCCTGTAACCCCACTTTTCAATCTCTCGAGATTTAGTGAGCTGCGGTACCATATATTTAACGAATTTCCTGTTTCTGGAATTTAAAAAAAAGGCAGAAACTTGAAAACAAATATAACCAGAAATATGCCTCTTACATCATTGATCCGAACATAGAAAATCTGTCTATGTCATCACTGAATCAAACATCGCAGGTAAAATATAAGTAGAATAATATTCCGGAAAATTTAAAGTTGATTTTTAGATTTCAAACATCTGTTTTAAAACAATTTATATGTGAACATGTATAATAAGTTAGTACATCGTTTCTTTGGATTGTCTTCAATGAGTATTTTGTGAATCTTGCAATTATTACCATCGATAATTTCTACAAATAGAAATCTTCCTTAAAACATCGGAGTTGGCATCAAGAGCCATTGAGGAGTGAGCATCCTATGCCGACCGGTCACACCCGCCGTGTGCTCCTTGTCATGATTGGGAAATAACGGGAAAATCCGTCGTCAATTCACTGTATAAAGAATGGACTAACAATAAGTATGAAGAACGTCAGTCAGCATTTGACTCAATGATAAATTGTATTTGCTGAGAAGGTCATTGTATCGACCAAAGAACTTACGTATTGATCAGGCTTGAGGTGAATTACATTGTAAAGTAATGCATTGCATTACCATTACTTCAACAATTTGGGCATTAAATTACCATTACCATTACTCTATTTTATTAAAGTAATACATTATATTACCATTACTTTAGTAAAGTAATGCATTACCATTTCCATTACTTTTGGAGGTTTTAAAAGAAGATTTTTATACCAATCTTTGCATTTTTTTTCATAAGCATGTACCCACCCCTTTCAAAACTAAACATGCATATGATAAATGATAATTCAAATAATTTGAATTCAAGTACTTGTATATATTACACTGTAAATAACTTACATTCATAGAAATTTGAAACTTTTAAATTGTAAGTAATATAAAACATGTACAATATCCGCTTTATGTGTAATTATTGATGTCATGAAGTAATTTAACTTTTGGGGCACTCGAGCCCCTGCCAAAATCTCTAATAATAAAGCATGTGGGCTATTTTGATCTAGTATCTTATGAACAAAAATAATGCATTGACAGACTTGTAAAAAAAAAAAGGTAGACAGGATGTACATTTTGCTCTGCAAAGCATAGAATGCCTGCATGTCTTCTATTTTCTTTGGTACAGTGGATTTTTCATGGTCAGTTTAAGCTAGACCAGCTCAGTTAATGTTTTATAAACACAGTCAGCACTTCTCCAAATAATGCATTGTTTTAATTGTTACATAACACATAGGCATGGTGTATTTTGATGACACTCTACTATTCAAAAGATGGCAATTATCAGTTTACAGTGTACATTAATTAGTGTACTTAACACATTTTTTAAAAAAGATTTTTTAAAACTATTTAAACTAGTTCTTTGAAATCAATTCTTATCTAAAATAAGTTAAAATGAAAACGTAAATGTAAGGTAAGTTTACTTTCAACAGCATAAAAAATGTATTTAAATATATACAGTTTTTAAAATAGGCGAACTTTTTGATTCAAATTTATTATTTACAAAAAAATAGTAAATAATAGATAAACAAATAAAATGAAAAAAAAATTACCTTAAAAATGTCCATGTCCATGTCCATGTCCATTCTAATTTTTTTTAAATAGGTACATACAAAATAATGCTTTGTAATGCTATGTAATGCCAGCATTACACTGGATTTTATGAAGTAATGCATTACATTACCATTACATTTGGGTTCATGTAATGAATTGCAATGCATTACCATTACAATAAGCATTACCCCCAAACCTGGAAATGATGACTTTAAACGAGACTGCTGAAATTCTGGTTTCATCAACTTGTTTGTCAATAATTTACCTCGATTTAGAAATCGTTCATTCGTAGAGCATGCTCTTGCGTATCGAATCAACTGAGATATATTAACTCTTGTTAGACTACCATTAACGTCTTTTTCAAGTAATATAGCCAAGTATGAAACAGATGTTTCAGACGCTGTGGTATCTTTTATCTCAACTCATCAGGATATATCGTATCGACATAAGAATGGAAATTGTCATTGTTAATTGACACTACGTCGTTGATATATCTAAATGTCGAGTTGAAGACCACAGCAAGTATTTTCTCCTTTCACGCATAAGAGTTTGGACAAAATCTGTTTCAAATAAATACAAAAAAGATCTGCTAATAACGGGTGCAATAGGTGTCCATGAGATTTTCAATAGATTGTTTGAAAACCTGGTCTCCAAAAACCACATAGATATTGTTAATCAGAAACTCAGGCTTTTTGTTGTCAACTTCAGAGTACGTGTATGTACAATTAGAATGTTTTTTAACAAAATAATTTTGCAAATGACGAATAACAAGGTAAGTAAATTTACGAGTTCCATTTTTATTGAAAAAGCAGCTGTCAATGATATCAAAAAGCCTGACAATGGACTTTAATTTATCGTGGGGTATTGTTTTGTAAAAAGTTGAACAGACCTAAGTTTTTAAGCTGTTGATTTTGGTGAAACCTTGTGATTTCAAATTGTCCAAAAGGTCCTCGGAATTTTTCAGTATCCATTTACATCACTTCTTGAATATATTGTTGCACATAATTCTTTAAGTTTCTCCTTCACTACTGTTAATATCTTAGTGAGAAGTATAAAAAAAGGGGGGGATTGGTTGAGCATTTACTGGAACCCGCTGCGTATCTTTGTAAGGATCGTTGTTTTCAGAAACAGTGAAAAAATATTTGGAATGAGATACTTTGCTACAGCATACTGAGTATAGTGGTGTAAATCAGATGTCGATCCGCAACACCTCAAAAGAACTTTTAGAAACTTAAAAAACACCTTTTTTTCAAAAGTCTTCAATACTAAAACTTAGAACTGTTCTACACGTACACTTGATACAACTTGCTTTACAGTAAATTCTAGGCTCTTTGATATCATAGACAACTGCTTTTTAAATATTAAAAACGGAATTCGGAATTTTCACATTTTGGTCAAATTACTTTGTGCACACCCAATCTGATTGTACACACAAGTAGTCTTAAGTTGATATTAAAAACCTCATTGACAACTTTTATGTAGTCTTCCGAGACAAAGTGTCCAACAGACTGCTGGAACTGTGCCTCTCTATTAAATGAAATGATTTTTATATGAATTTGAAGTAGAATTTATTCAAATGCTTTCGCATAAAGGAGGAAAGCACTTGCTGTGACCTTCACATTCCCCATTCAAATATATCGACGATATTTTATCTAATTACAATTATAGTTAATTTTCATTCATGTATCGACTCGATTTATCCCAGTAAACTTGAAATATAAGACACCACTGAATCTGTCGCATTTGTTTCATAATTGAATGTTTTATGATTATAGACGATAAGAACCACCTACCATGTGAATTCTATAACAAATGAGCTTTTCTTTGTCAACTTCCCTACATATTTCATATAATATTCCACTATCGTCTGCTTATGGTGTTTATGTCTCCTAACTTACTCGCTACTCAAGAGCTTGCTCTGAGTACGATAAATTTTTAAACTGAGGTACGCTACTAACTGATAAGTTGATGTTACAGGCATTTCAACAACCTCGTTTAAAGTCAGCATTATGTATATTTTGTGACAAGACCTTTCATTGGATACCAACAAGTATGACCCTTTGACCTTGACCTTGGAGTTTGACCTACTTTTTAAAAAAAGTTTAACATTGGCCATAACTTTAGAACGGTAAGAGCTAGGGCTTTCATACTTCACCTATGTAATCCTAGTGAAAATGCATTTTATTGGATATTAACAACTTCGACCCTTCCAACTTGACCTTGGAGTTTGACCTACTTATAAAATTTTAACCAAGGCCTTTCATTGCGTACAAACAATGACCCTTTGACATTGGCCCTGGAGTTAAAATCTTCCTTTGGAAAAATTAACATAAGCCATAACTTTAAGTTTTGAACAGGCTTTATTTTCCAATGATAATTATTTTTTTCTGAAAAATATATTTCCTAAATACGTGGTGAAAATACTAAGTAATTATAAATTCTTTATTCAAGCATTTTGTGATAAAAAAGTAAACAAGAATGAAAAAAGTCAAATTTTCCACCCCTGAAAACTGGAATAATACTCCCACAGTTGATTTCCGTCGATAGCTCGTATGTTAACTTTATCGCCAGATTGCAAAATTAGTGGCGCAGTATTAGAGCATGACTGCATTCCGGGATTAACTAAGTTATTGCAGGCAAGCAGTCCTTTTCTTTTACCATTGACGCAAATTTCTGTGTCAAATATTTTTCGTTCAGCTACCAAACTACTCCAAGCAAAGGCGTACAATCCATCAGCTGGCGCAGTGAAGAAACCGGTATGGGTATCATATGCGCTCCCATTATTGAAATAAGCAGCGTCATAAACAATGTTAATTGGGGTACTTCTATGTAGGTATAATTTTCTATGAGTACAGGCATGGAAAGCTATCAAATCTTTCCCTAAATAAAGAAATAAGACTTGAAACAACTGTATTACTTATCCCATATTTTTTGAGTAAAATTATATGTCATACTAATTTAATACATTTATCATTTCTACCTTGTTTTGTGTGGGGTGTGTGTGTAAGGGTGTGTGCGTGTGTGAGAGGGTTTGTTTGTATGCTGTTTCACGTCCCTCTCAAGGTTAATTGATTGATTGATTGTATATTGTTTTACGTCCCATTTTAGAATTTTTCACTCATAGAGACGTCACCATGTACCGGTGGAGAGCTGCATTTTTTCCTAAGCTCGACACTTACGGCCATTGAGCAGGAAGGGATCTTCTTCGTGCCAGCACCTACTGCGACACTGGACCTTGGTTTATACGGTCTCATCCGAAAAACCTGTCTCCACGTCCCACAGTGGGATTCGAACCCGCGACATAAGGATCAATTCCTTACTTCGCGACTCTAGAGCAGACGCTCTGAACACTACGCCACGCAGGCGACTGTCTATCTTGGTAAATCCGGACATTACAGAGTAGACATTTTAAACAATCGAATTTACCGAAAGGGACTCAAGGTTTTCATTGACATATGGAAGAATTCGAAAAAAAAAATATTAAAAATGTATTTTTATATGTTTTGATTTGTGTGTTCATTTTATCAAAATAATTAGATTGATACAAGCTATAATGTAGACAATTATTTAAAATTTTAAACTTCAATTATCATTAAGGACAATGAAGTTCTGAACTTCTTTTTTCTTTGTTTAAGGGAATCCGACCCTCAGCCAGGAAGGACAACTCTTTAATTTATAATTTAATTCAAAAAGTCTTTAAATGAAGCTTGAAAATTAAATCTTTTCATGCAACAATTTTCATTATATGCCTCTCAATGTGCTTCAAGGTTCTTTAAACTTCTCAGAAAGGTCTAATTAAAAGTAGAAATTTTTATCCCGAAAAAGCATCTTTAGATACCAATGTTTATTAACATGATATGAAATTAGAAGTAATTTATGGAGCTTTGCAAAGAACCTTGAAGCACATTGAGAGGCATATAATGAAAATTGTTGCATGAAAATATTTAATTTTCAAGCTTCATTTAAAGACTTTTTGAATTAAATTATAAATTAAAGAGTTGTCCTTCCTGGCAGAGGGTCGGAGTCCCTTAATTGAAAACTTACATACGCAATTTTAAAAACAAATGTTGAGAAAATTTTTCAAGAACATCCCAATTTAATGCAGTATTATAAATTAAGAATGAAAAAATATTAGTACGTAAGGTTAAGAAGGGTTAGATCTAAGTGCTTTGTGTATCTTTAAATAATATTTATATGAATGCTTGTTCATTTTTTAAATACTCAATCCCCCCCCCCAATATGATATTTACTTTAAGTAAAATAATTCTTTAGCAGTCAATAATAATTAATTGCTAATAAATCAAAAAAATGGGGATAAAATTATTAAGAAAATGTCCATTTACCTTCAGATTGAACTTGTGGTTCCTTGACACATTGATAAGTGATCTGTAAATATTTACTGTAATTTGGACATTTATCCTCGAATATGCTCTTTGAGGCATGGAGGTGACACGTTTGGTACCCATTACAATTCCATTTGACTTTGATTTCAGATGTCTCTGACCGACAGGTGCTTGTGTCAGTTTTACCTCCGGGACAGACATGGGTGTCTGTTCGGCCAAAATTAGAGGAGATAATCTGTATCTTGGTACCTTTGGCACACCGTATAAAGCCTTTCTGGTCATCACAAAGAGCAAACGTCTGATCTATATTAAAAAATAAACAATTGTACCTCATTGAATTAAAATTATTGACTTCATATGAAGTTCAAAGACATAATTACAAAATACATCCAAAGTAAAAAAATAACCAACCTGAGACTTGTCATTCCCATCAAAGGCAAAAGAAGGAAAATGGCTGATAGAATTTGTCTCATCATTTTCTGTCAATTGGCTACGGTGGTATCGTAAATAAAAATCAAATTAAAGTGGTTTTTTTCTTTACACTAGTAAAACTACAGTAATAATTGTGATAAAAATCATTGACATGCAAACTTGATACACTCACATACCAAATATTAGCTCAATATCTGCAAGCTTTAAAAAAAAGAGCGGAAAACCGAGTGGGACAGACTAATAGACAGCCAGAGCGACAAAATGATATCGGAGGGATAGACACGAAGAAAACCTATAGTATCCTTCGGTTTAACTGGTAGATAACTAAAAGTGAAGATGGAGGAGAGAGGTTGCCAGCTACATGTAATTTACATTTTCCATTTAAGGTAGGAAAAACACCCGTGGATTCTATTTTAACCCATTTCTTAAAAAGGACTGGAGGAAAAAAGAATAATATTACTATATTGACAACAATGAATGATCCCTGAAAGAAAAATAATAAGTTTTGGCGTATTTGCGTTATATTTTGTGAAAAAAATCAGAGAATCCTATATATTGGTCACTTGGGAGCTTACATTTGCTATCTAAGTGCAAAAAACAGGCATGTAACAGTATGTTATAAAATGCATTGCAACTTTTTTTCCATAAATAGTAGAGGGATGATATTTGGACACATATATAAGGTGTCTCTATTCTTTATGTACTACAAAGGTCAAGGTCATATCAAGAGGTCAAAGGTCAAATATTGTGACGTCATCTACTGAATCTTTTAGTTTTTTTTGTCATTGATTTTTTTTCATCGCCAAAATATCCGAAACCACCGGTTCAATTTTATTCATTTTTACACATTTTATTCTAGGACCTATTTGAATCATTCTGTTGATTTTTTATAAAAGTTGAATTATACGTTTTCTCCTAAGAAAACTTAAACTGTTGGATATTTACATGTGATTGTTCAGTTTCTGACACAATGTTTGTTCTATTTTACTTAATATTTTACCCAAATTTACCAGTATCAATGTGACTTACTGATTTAAAGTATTAAGGACAGACGAGACGTTCCTTAATAATAGATAAATTTTTCTAAAAGTTTGTCATTGAAGTATTGCTACTTAAACATGTTTACGCACAAAAAATTGAGGTACCTTACCAGGCATTTCTGCAAGATACCAGGGGTAGTTTTTCTTATATAATCCTTTGGGGAAGAAAAATAATTTTCCAATTTCAAATGTTTAAGTGTTTGGATCCTTTAAAAACATTTAGAAACTGGTTTAGAAATCAGAATGTTATTAAAATTTTTAATAGTTTTCATACATTACAAAGATATACAAAACAGATTTTGAGGAACGTCTCGTCTGACCTTAAAAAGGTTATCTTTATTAAAAGTATTACACAAATTTGCAATAGATCAATCGAAAATTCTAAAATAAGGCTCATTCTCAAGTCGAATGTCTGATTTCACAATCTTCTTATAAGGGTCTGATAGGCCATATTTCAGACTATGTGGGCAAAAAATGTGCGGTTGAATTTCTTTCATATCATATATAAAGAGAGATTTTGTATCCAAGAACAAAATATCAAAGTTTCAGAAAAATTGAATTTGAGGAAAAATTTGACCAATCTATTTGGTCCTACCTTAAAATTGACAATGGAAACTGATAATTAAAGGACAAACTTTTTTTTTTTAATTTCTACTCATCAATAAGTCACTTCAACACTAAGAAATCAATAAAAATAAAACATAAACATTGTTGACGACCTTTTCAGAAAGTAAATATATATGAAATACTAGGAAATTATCATATTTTGAGAAATCATTATTTAAAGAAATCTTTCATATTCTCCATATTTTTTTTTAAGAATACCCTACATACCTACTCAATTTTTTTAAAATTTGAGTTGGGAGAGGGAAGCAATCTTTTAAAGATGGTCTTGTATCACATAATGGATACTGAAAAAAATGTCAAGTATTATATGTACCAGATTAATAAAGGTGGAATATTGACTATACCTTGATAATATAATTGTCAATATCTGCACATGCAGTTCTGCAGTAGAAACTGTAAATGTGACTCTCGGTTTGTAAGGTGTATTATATATAAGAGTTCAGGTTACATGTACTACGCAGTAAATGACTGAATGTAACAGGTTTTGATCGAAATTTCTGATATCATGCATTATAATTAATTGAAACTGGTCTATGGTCATGATAACCTGGTATTAACCAGTTGTTAAGACTGGCTAAAATTAAAATTTCATATTTGTTTGCTTACTATAAATCTATTAATTGAAAGTTAATTTAATTTGTTCTTTAGATATTTTTTTGACAATTCGTGACTCTCGGCCACAGTGTACCGAATGATATCTGCTTTTTAAATGATTGATAAAAGGTTATGTAATTGCTACAATCTCATATTATGAAATTCAAAATCAAGAACTTTTACTACTTTGTTATTCTACATTAAATTTAAAATGAGAAAATAAACTGTCTTGAAAAAGTCAACAAGATATTGGCTTAGAATATTGCTACATCAAATGGGAAGATGATGACGGATAAGATGAAGTCATCTTGTCTTTCAGATGCCTTGAGTTATTGTAAAAGATATACCCAAATCACAGACACTTGGGGATGGAGGCCTTTTTCATTTTTGTAAATCTGGGATCGACACACCTTTTCCCTATTTTATATGAACTACATGTCTTCGATAATGTTATCCTTTTGACTCTATAAGCAATTTTTAGATTATCATTTAAGACTGATTCATAAAAAGAGAGTCGGATATGATACAGCTGATAGAGACAAAAATAATTGTTATATTTTACTTGAAAAATACGTTAATGGTAATCTAACAATCAAGCTCTATGATAAACGTGATGACTTTGAATCGTCAACTTCCATTACTTATGCAGCAATATACCTTCATCACCTGCATACCGGAATGATATCTCTCAGTTGATTTGACACGCAAGAGCTTGCTCTACGAATGAACATTTTTAAAGTAAAGATGATGAAGACTAATTAACAACTACATGTAAATTACATGTGTATGACAAACGAGATCACTTATTCTCCGATTCCACCGTCAACTTCCTTTATTTATTTTGGAAAATTCTACCTTCACCTGCTGAATGGTATTTATTTCTCCCTAGTATTATTCGCTACTTAACAGTTACCTAACAGACTGATTTTTAAAGCAAAACATGCTACCCACTGCTAAGTGGATGTTTCAAGGATTTTAAAACCTCCTTTAGAGTCGGTTTTTCGTATATTTTATGGTCCTTGTAATGATATTTATGATGTTTGCAAAAATAGCATATCATTGGGTATCATTTTGCCTGACTTGTTTCATACCCATTTTAGGCACTTGTTTTAATAATGATTTGACTACAGAAAATTCATTTTATCTAATTAATACATAGGGCTTCCGAAGGGTGTGACCGTTGAAAAGGGGATCATTACTCCTCCTAGTCACCTGATCCCACCTCTGAAATTTCCAAAGTCTCGTGTTTTATTATGCTATCTTCATATATTTGTTATGTTTATAAATTTCTTGAGATCGTTATCTTCACTTTTTACTTGTAAACTTTTTCTTAGAGTTTTGGTTAAAATAATCTTAATTCTTAATATATACATTTGTATTTATTATTTTTCTCTTATATCACGATTCAGGCAATCTGTATTAAAATCTGTTTCAATACACGTTCATCACTTGACAACAAATTTATTGTTTAGTCATCAGTTAATGATCGATCTATTTTCACAGCGACAGCATCAGTGGTCGATGTGGTCAATGCAATCAATTTATAACGTTGGGGTTTAAAATATATGAGTTTAAAACTGTTATACTAAAGCATATGCTAACACCTGTCAGAAACAAAAAGCAGTAGGCAACTTATTACATATTAGGCAATCTGCCATTATCATTCTTTACTGGGCAGTAGAAGAGAAAATATAATATAAGCCGAAACACTTCTTAAATAAAACTAGAGGTACTAGAGGTACTGTGAGCAGTGAGCTCACTAAATGATACCCCCGCCTCCCATATGAATATAATGGTAGTGTCCATGTTTTGCTATGGGAAACCCAAAATATATAGATGCACAATGACATTTATACATAATAAAGATTCTCTGAAAGTCTCATCAAATTTCATTCAGTTGTATAAGAAGAGTTGCGGATAAGAGGTAGGTACCCCAAGACGTAACTGACGGACGGACGTGCAGCTAGACAGACGGACGGACATCCTTATTAGTATATACCATCCCACTTTCAAGCAGGGGGTATAATAAATGAATCAAACGACAAAGATAATAAACGTATCTATTTCTGTATTAATTGATTTCATTAGAATGGAATTTTAAAACTATTGTTTTAAAGCATTCATTTCTCTGTATAGAGAACATCTTGCCCACACTGTTATTATACCCCCGCTTGAAAAGCGGGAGAGTATATAGTGAGCGGAATGTCCGTCGGTTCATCCGTCTGTCTGTACACCCGTCTGTTACGCTTTGGGGTGCCATCTCTTATCCGCAACTCCTCTTATTTCACTCAATTAAATTCAATTAGACTTTCACAGAATCTTTGTTTTACATAATGCCATCGTGCACCCTCTGTTTTACTTTTGGATCGGACGCAAGTTTTGGGTTTCCAAGAGGAAAACATGGACACAGCCATTCTTTCTGTAATATTGAAGGGTACCCATCTCTTATTCGCCATTCTTCTCATACCACTGAATAAAATTAAATGATACTTTCACAGATTTTTTATAACATGATGAAGTCGTGCACTTCCTATTTTTTAACTTTTTGATCTGACATTTCTTTCTGGTCTCCCAGTGCAAAACATGACTTTGCCATAAGAACCATATTGGAGTCGAGGGGTAAAATTTAGTGAACTCATTGCTTACAGTACATGTATCTCTTGTTGAACCTTCTTATTTCTTGCTTGTTCATTCTCTAGAAATTACATTTCTATACACCAGCTTGTAAAGTTAAAGGATATATAGTGATCGGGATGTCCGTCCGTCTATTACGCTTTGGGGTACCCATCTCCTACCCGGACCTCCTCTTATTTAACTGAATGAAATTTAATGATACTTTCACAGATTCTTTATAACAAAATGCCATTGTGCACCTTTTATTTTACTCTTTGATCTTACACTTATTTCGGGTCTTCCAGTGCAAAACATGACTTTGCCACAATGAACATATGGGAGGGGAGGGGGTAAGATTTAATGAGCTCGATGCTCACAATACCTGTAGTATTTATTAGATTACAAAACATTGTATTCGAAAACATACATTCAAAACATTTTTATTCAACTCTCCATCCCTTAAAACTAGACCATCTGTCAATTAAGTTATTTGCATTTGTTGTTCTTATGTTCACCTTGTCTCCAGCTTTCAGGACCAAGGGTACAGTATTTGCACAATTTTCATAACCTGGATTGGCCTCGTTGTTGCAGTTTCCGTATCCTTTCTGCACTCCATTTACCAGGATTTTAGCATCAAAGATTTTTTTCACTTTAACAAGACTTGTCCAGGTAAACACATAAAGTCCGTCAGATGGCGCTGTGAAAAAACCACTTCGAGGATTGTACGCATTTCCGATGTTGTAATAAACGCCATCATATACAACATTGACGGGGGTGTTTCTATGTAGATGCAATTGTTTTGTGATGTACGCATTAAAGGCGATTATTGATTTCACTACAACAAAAATTACAAAGAAAATAATGTAATTTATATTGCAAAAAATGTTATTTAGAGGATTCAGCGAATCAATTTTATTTCTTACCATTCGTTTGCGGATTTGGACTCTTCACACATCTATATTTGACCTCCAGATATTTGGAATAATCAGGACACGGGTCTCCAAAGTATTGATCAGCAGCATGAAGGTGACATGTCTGGTACCCATTACAGTTCCATTTCACCTTGAGGTCTGACGTCTTTGAACGACAGGTAGTTGTACCAGATTTACCACCCGGACACATTTGTCTATCTGTTCGTCCGTAGTTGGCGGATATGATCTGAATCTTTGTTCCTCTCCAACAGCGTATGAAGCCTTTTTGATCACCACATAGGGCAAATGACTGATCTAAATTGATAAATTTATGTTTTTTGAAAAATCGTTCACTTATTAGTACTTGAAAATAAAGTTAACTACAAATGTAAACAATTCTAGTCAACTCGGCAAGATATATCTGCAAAAAATGGAACATAAAATACATTTCTGAGTTACCTGATGCATTCAGTTCTTTTGTTGATGCTATAAGAAGTAGCAAGCAGATACTTGGGAAATATGCCATCTGTCTCTGCTAATAAGACAAGACAGAAATACACGAATAAAAGTTTTGAAACAAACTATAAGTCCATCTACTGTTTGACTTTATCTTTAAAACTGTCAAGAAAAATAATAAACTTACCTTTTCTGATCAATAAATTATTATCTTGAATGAAAAGAAGTAAACCAAAATGTGGAAATAACCACAGATATCATTGTATATATGTACTTGTATATTTTTTTGATTTACGTGACCAAGTGCAACATATGTTATTTTCGTGTTCAAAATCAACATTATGTCACGAGAAGTGGTCATTATAATTTAGCACCAAAATTTTATAAGAAAAACCATTTTTGTATCTAATGAATATATAAATTACAGTATCAGTGTGTATTTCTATCTTGATTTTTTATTACTATTTATGTTCATAAAGTCTGCAGACAATAACTTATACCAACGCATAACATAACAGTAAAATTGAGAAAGAAATTTTGAGAAACAAGATTTTGTTTGATAAATGAAAGGTATGGAGATAACGAACAGTATTCAATATCAAAGTCTATAAAACAATACAAAATAGGAACAGAGCAAACACGGACCTCCGAATCATCAGAGGTGGGATCGGTGCCAGGGAGGAGTGAGCATCCCCTGCTGACCGGTCACACCCGCCGTGTGTTCCTTGTCATGATCGGGAAATAACGGAAAAATCCGTCCACAATTCAGTGTATAAATAATGGTCTAACAATTAGTATGAAAAAACGTTAGTCAGCATTTGACTCAAAGATAAATTGTATTTGCTGACAAGGTCAATGTATCGACCATAGAACTTCCGAAATGATGACTTTAAACGAGACAGCTGGTATTCTTGTTTCATCAACTTGCTTGTCAATAATTTACCTTGATTCAAAATTGTTTATACGTAGAGCATGCTGTTACGTATCGAATCAAATGAGATATATAAACTCTGTATGCAGGTGATGAAGATATATTGCTGCATAAGTAAGGGAAGTTGACGACAGAAAAGTTAAAGTCATCACGTTTATCATATAGCTTGGTTGTTAGATTACCATTAACATCTTTTTCAAGTAAAATATCCAAGTGTGAAACAGATGTGTCAGACTCTGTGGTATCTTTTATCTCAAGCTCACCAGGATATATCGTATCAACGTAGGAATGGAAATTACCATTGTTAATTGACAATACGTCTTCGATATATCTAAATGTCGTGTTAAAGGCCACAGACAGTGTTTTCTTCTTTTCACGCATCAGATTTTGCACAAATTCTGCTTCATAGGAATAAAAAAGTAGGTCTGCTAATAACGGGGTGCAATTGGTACCCATGGGAATTCCAATAGATTGTTGGAATACCTGGTCTTCAAAAACCACATATAGATATTGTCAATCAGAAACACAAGCATCTTTTTAATGTTAATTTCAGAGTACTTGTGTGTGCAGTCAGAATGTTTTTAACAAAATACTTTTGCAAATGACCAATGACCAGGTAAGTATATTTACGAGTCCATTTTTATTGAAAAAGCAGTTGTCAATGATATCAAAATACCTGGAATTTAATTCATTTTGGGGAATGGTTGTGTATAAAGTTGAAAAGTCGTAAGTTTTTAAGCTGTTGATTTTGGTAAAACGTTGTGATATCAAATTGTTCAAAAGTTTTTCGGAAATTTTGAGTATCCACATCTGATTCACACCACTTCTTGAATATATTGTTGAGAACTTTAAATTCTACGTCACATTCTCGCCACATCAAAGGAAGTAGCCGAGATCGCGTCTCTCCCACGCTAAAGTCGGTCAGCTGCAACATACAGATTGTTTTCGGGGTTCAAAAAATGAGTAGACAGTCCCGATGTCGTTTTCTTGAATGTAACCTGCAAAGTTAAAAGTTTTTTTTAACCTTGAATTTTAAAAAAAGTTTTTTTAAACCTTGAATTTAAAAATCTTAAGATTTTTTCAGTCCATTACGAATATTTAAATTGGTCGATTATTTTATTCTATTATATCAAAGTTTACTTTTTTCATATTTGCGTACAAGTATAAGTCGAGTAGTGCATGATTCATTGATCATTGGATTTATTAGTTACGCGTATCAACCCAAGTCATGCATGCTGAGATTGTTGCAATTTGGTACAAAATATAATGGTGAAAAATGGAGACCCTCTTTATGCGTATATTCGAGAGAAAAGATGAAGAGGGAAGGCCGGGGAAGACGTGTCCATTTACCTTCAAATTTTATCGATTGAAGTTCAATTTATTTTTAAGTTTTAACGAATGTTGTATGTACAGGGTAATTATTAAAGACGATGAAGACAAATATAACTTCTTAAAATCATTTATTTTTGATTTGGCGATTGTGGCCACGACCTACATAATACAATATATATTTTATTAATCGTTATAACATAACTCCTTATAAACCTTATATCCTTATCCTTATAAACCTTATCCTTATAAACCTTATATCCTTATCCTTATAAACCTTATATCCTTATCCTTATAAACTTTATATCCTTATCCTTATAAACATTGCATCATTATCCTTATAAAGTCCTGAAGATTTGAATACTGACAACATTCAAGCTGGTACTGGGTTAGCAGATACTCAGCAGAAGTTGTGAAAAAATAATTGTATCATGGAAGGCGTGGAAAATATTGATCTATCATTGGCGTCGGAAGCAAATTAAAGAGGGGGGCTAAGGGTAAGAAAATTTTTTAGACCTCCCAAAAAAAACTGAAAAGCAAAAAAAAAACAAAAACAAAAACAAAAACAAAAAGAAACAAGGGATGTGTATTTTCCAAACACGAAAATCCTATTTCGTGCGTATACCTATGCAGCAATGTTCAATGCCTTTACTAAGTCTAATTTTGGAGAAAAAAAAAAGGGGGGCTAAGCCCCCCCCCCCCCACCCCCGGTTCCGACGCCTATGTCTTTAAAGCCAAAATCTTATTACACATGCATTTCCTGATTCCTAAAGATGGGCCTGGTATATTTTGAAAATAAATAGACTGTTCTCGAAAAAAATTAAAAATGAATACTTAGTAATCTACCCTCGACTAGCAAGGAAATAAATAAGCTGTCCTTGGACAGTACTCCCAACCCCCAATCCCCACCCGAAACGGAGTTTCTCTTTATCCTTGGTTTGTCAAACTTTTTTCTAATGCAAAAAAAGTTATCCGTCCCTGACTTACATGATGATATGAAAAAAATCTGAAACGAATTTAACCAACCCCTCTCCTGGGCGCCCCTTTACTCACACAGTGTATGTACATTCATTTTCACAAGGTATATATATTATATAGGCAGCTGCTGTAACAAGGAACAATCGTCTCTAACTCCTTTTTTTCTTTCACTTTTCCAACTTATCTCATGTAATAATTGACTTTTTTAAAACCACCATTTATTCCAGATACTTAAGTTAATTATTTCAAAGTGGGGTGAAGAAATACTTAGTAGATGGAAAGAAAACCCGAAAAAGACTCAAATATGTAGAATAATGGTTATCATTATTGTAAATAGGAAGTTTCAAAGAACTCAAAATTAAGAATTGGGCAGGGAAGAGGTTTTTCCTCTCATATTTGTCAATTTTTTGCAATAAAATGTGAAAGAGACTATATTGGATTACGGTCTTGAAATTTTTGTGACAGCCTCATGTATCTAAAGTACATGCAGTGCACAATGATTTTCACGAATTGATATTTTTAGTATATAAATATGAAACTGTTTACCTAAGCGGTTGTAAAGTATCTTAATTAAAACGTAAAGCCTTTCAATGAACCTTTCGAACAATATGTTTGAAACGAAAAAAAGTAGGGTGGGGTGAGGGCTGGCCCTTATGTTATATGCCCGTCAGATCCACAGTGTCAAGAATGATGAAACTTATGGGAGAAAATTCCAAGAAGTGTAGATTAAAGTTTGTTCACATAAACTCCCATCCCCTTTAAATTTAGATTAGGACCACTTATGCATTTAAACGTTCAATACTGGGCTGATTTCTGCTATTTTCAGAGCCACAGTGCTCAGGTAAGCGATGTAGCCCATGGGCCTCTTGTAGTTCCACTGCGTTAGTACAATACAAATATTCATTGAATCGCATAATTATTAAAAGTTGTCTTAGCATTCGATAAAGTTGTCCCACAGTTGCTGAAATCGCACATGTTTTTCCATTCTAACCCCCCCCCCCCATATATGGAGGATATGTTGCTGTTTGCAAAAACTCTGCGTACGTAGTGCTCGGTATGGTGTTCCCTGTTATGGGCATTTACATGTTCTTACAGAAATCTCAGTTTTATAAAGGATTGCGAAAATGTGCTTTTGAGTACTTTTCTACATAATGCAAAGTATTTAAAAAATCTGCAGCAGTGCATGTATGTCGTATATGAGCAATCAGAATGGATTTAATGCACTGTGTGCTTGCTGATAATTAAAAAATCAGAGTGCATAATTAATGAAAATACCTGATCATATTTTAAACATCACTGATCCAACAGAGTGAAAAACATACATACAGCCACTGAAACGTTTCCTGGAGAGAGAGAGAGAGAGAAAGAGAGAGAGAGAGCTATTATACGTGTGTATTTTTTAAGCAAAACTATGCACCCGTTCAAATTTAGTATTTTGACATAATTATTGACAATTGTGAATAGGCATACTTCTCTTCTTGACAGAAATGTTCTTTTATGTATGGATACTTAAAGAACAAGTACATATTGTACTGGTATAATACGGTTGTTTGGTGTATTCATGTAAAAAAAAATCTATGTATACTTACATGTAGTTCTCAAGTCTTTCACTTCATGGTTTGATTCATAAACGGAATATTTCTCTTTTCCACAGAAAAATCATTTTACATCAACAGTACCAGTAATTTGAAAAATACTACACAATCCAAGAATGACCAGGACGAAATACTTAAAATCCCGCAATTTAAATTGATCATGTACATCATTTTATATCGCATGTATACCGTGCCATATACACAAATGGTAAACGCTATAAAATCAAATTTCACGGCCTTTAATTTATTATGGACTCTAAAAATGCATATAATATAAATAATGTTTTTTTCAACTGTTTAATAAGATTTGTGTTTTCTGTCCCCTATTGTAAACCCGTTAAACGTCGGCGATGTGTATTGCCGCTGACCGACTTTAGCGTGGGAGAGACGCTATCTCGGCTACTTCATTTGATGTGGCGAGAATGTGACGTAGAATTTAAAGTTCTCGACAAGCAAAGCGTCAGCTCGTCACAAACAATGTAATCCTTTAGGGGTTTTGAAATCTGCTATATCTTTGTAAGAATTTTATGAAGTTTCGGAATCCAATATATATATATATATATATATATATATATATATATATATATATATATATATATATATATATATATATATATATATATATAGGGTAGTTCAAATTCATTTTGGCTCTGTGGAATATTAAAAATATTTAAAACTGACATATGATTTTGAAGAATTTTCATATACCCCTGTATCAATGAACAGAGAAAGAGAATGAAATATCAATTATGAAATATTATTATTTTTCTCATAAAATTCGTTTATTGTTATTTATGTACTCATTTATGCACTGGTTATTAATTTTGGTTCACAAAAATGTGGCATTTTTCTCCAGAAAATAACGATACCGGTACCTTCGTTATTTATACGTGTAATCAGAATGTTGACAGGAAAATTTTGAAAGTTCAGTTCCAGCTTTCTTATGTAAATATGACATAAAATGTTCTACATCTTTTTGCGGATTATTTTTAAAAATAATGTTTTTAGAGTCTATACCAACTCCGATCCTCGGAAATAAACAAATTTGGTTGAATTCTTATAGATGTGCTGGTGTATAGAGCAAAACTATAAGGTTATTATAGGTGTGTATTGGAAGTTATTTTCTCTTTGCTTGGAGAAGACTATTTATTCATGAAATCTGAAGATAACAATGATCAAGGAGAAAAGTCCACTGAAACAATACGATTTGGAAGCAGAGCAAACTTCTTAAACAGAGGTGGGATCAGGAGCTATGGATGGGCAATCATGTGAGGTCTGAATCAGCATTTAAAAAAACGAATTCAAAAACTATATATAGATACTCTTCAGATGATTAATGGTATCATTTTGTTTTAGGGTCCTTCACATTTGGCCCTTATGCAATGATATAGAAAATGTTGGTAGTATCGTGTCCTTTATAATTATTGAGATTGTTCTTAAATTTCATTACCGGGGGTACTAGGTGGTTTATGAAAATATGGAAATAAGCAAATGCTAAACGTTTTAGTTGATCAGTTATTCATAACAGTGGGGTTCTATATATATGTAATTATTACTTTTGACTGATTGATATTACTTTGAAAACGTTGATTTGAGTTTTTGAAAATATTTAACAATCAGTTTTCACATTTAATTTGTTTCATTCTTTTAAAATGCGATTTATTTTCAGATTTATGGGTACTTTAACTTGCAGAAGATTTTGTCCTCCATCTTTCATTACTGGGAAGGAATTTGAGGGATATTGTTACTTATAAACCCCACCGAAGTTCATATGTAAAGTGTATCGAAGTAAAAGTGACAAAACAAATTATAGGCTTGATGTAACTCTCAATTACTAATTAAAATGATAGTATAAGAGTTATGTATTGCATCTAAAAAAAAAATGATAGTATACACTGCGATGAAAACATTATTGTATGATCCATATTTTTTTCCATTATCAGTTATATAGCTTATAAGTTAATTGAAAATGTCTATTTTTTTCTGTTTTTTATATTTAAGAATTGTCCGTTCTTTAAACGAATTTACAGATCCCAGAAATTAAAGTTTTCAATTGGCATTAATTTATTGGGCTTTCTATTATTATTTTTTGTTCGATGTCTGTACATTTTATGCATCAAAGAGAACGTGTAACTTACACGTGACGTGTAATTAGGAAAGAAAATTAATCTTAGTCATTACAAAACATTTCGATTTTTATTTTGCATTTTGAATCTATGATTGATATACATGTACGTTAATCCAAAACATGTGTCTGAAACAGTTTTCCCCATCAATATCACACTGTTGCAGCTAATGCATGTTTATCCAAAGAACTTCAATTGAATTTCAAATGAAATTTATGGAGATAACGAACAGTAATCAAACTCCAAAGTCCATAAATTCAAAATAGGAGCAGAGCAAACACAAACCTGCGAAACATCAGAACTGGGATCAGGTGCCACGGAGGATTGAGCATCCCCATGACCGGTCAAGCCTGCCGATTGCTCCTTGTCATAGTCGGGAAATAACGGGAAATTTTAGCGTTTAAATAATGGTCTAACAATTACTATGAAAAACGTCAGTCAGCATTTGACCTAATAATAAATTGTATTCATTAACATGGTAAGTATATCTACCATAGTATTTTCGAATTGATTACTGTAAATGAGACTTATGATATTCTTGTTTCTTCAACTTCTTTGTCAATAATTTACCTCGTTTTAGAGATTGTACATACGTAAATAGAAATAAAAGCTCCGTATGCAGGTGATGAAGGTATATTGCAGCACAAGTAAGGGAAGTTGACGTTTAAAAAGCTAAAATTTTTAGATTGTTGAACGATGATTCCTTTTCCTTTTTTATGTTCACATACGTCCCCTAGCCCCACCCCACAGTTCCGACGCCTTTGCATGTAATAATATATTCGAGTAGTAATGTTGTTAATCAGATGATGATATTCAAAAACTCTAAAGAACTTTTAGAAAAATTTAAATAAGTAATAATAAATTTAATTGAATGTATAATTGGAGTTTCTTGACATGTATTAAAAAAATATATTCCCGATTTGTTCTTCAATTTTGATGTCAACATTTGGAATTTTATACATCGTACAACAATAAAGCAAAGATAGACTTTCGAAATATTTTTTATTTTACTTTCCATCCCTTAAAACTAGACCAAGTTTCTATTAAGTTGTTTGCATTTGTTGTTCTTATGTTTACCTTGTCTCCAGCTTTCAGAACCAAGGGTACCGTATTTGCACAGTTTTCATAACCCGGACTGAGTTCATTGTTACAGTTTCCGTATCCTTTCTGGACTCCATTCACAAGAATTTGAGCATCAAAGATTTTTCTGACATTAATAAAACTTGTCCAGGTAAACACATAGAGTCCGTCAGATGGCGCTGTAAAGAATCCACTATGAGGATTGTAGGCACTTCCGACGTTGTAATAAACACCATCATAAACAACATTTACAGGGGTGTTTCTGTGTAGATGTAATCTCTTAGTGATGTACGCATTAAAAGCAATTATTGATTTCTCTGCAAGAAAAATACAAAGAAATTTCTTTTTTAAATAATATATTAATAATACAATCAACAAGATGAAAGCTCTTGCCACGTTTTGATAAGATGTCATTAAGGTCAGATGACACGTTGCTAAAAAATATATAATATTCCCCAAGAATTTATCGTTGAAGTAAAGGTACTTAAACAAATTTCCTCACAAAAAATTAGGGGGCCTTACCACGCATTTGGACAAGATACCAAAGGGTGATATTTCTTATATATCCCATAGGGGTAATCATCTGAATGGCCAATAGCACAATTTTTGATGTACTTGTATTTAAAAACATTTTGAAAACAATGCAATCACAAAAGAATGACAAATATGCAAAAATTTTTATGTAATACGAAGAAAGACAAAAGACATATTTGAGGAACGTGTCGTCTAACGATAAGCGTTAAATGCATTTAAAAGTAAACATTCGATAAACACAAAATTTATTGATTGATATTTCTGCTACATTAATTTTTTTCACCAATATTTCGAAATAACAAAATTTACATAATTTATTGCGTACCACCATTTTCAAGATTTGGACTTTTTAAACATCGGTATCTGATCTCCAGATATTTGGAGTACCTGGGACATGGATCTCCAAAATTTTGATTAGAAGCATGAAGATGACATGTCTGATACCCATTACAGTTCCATTTCACCTTGAGTTCTGACGCTTTTGATCGACAGGTTTGTGTACTAGAGTTCTTTTTAGGACAAACTTGTGAATCTGTTCGTCCGTAGTTGGCAGACACAATCTGAATTTTCGTTCCTTGCAAACAGCGTATGAACCCTTTGTGACCCTCGCACAATGCAAAAGACTGGTCTAAGAAGATTAGTTGAATGTTTTATAATTCAGTCTCGTATATTTTAAATTGAAGTTAAAGTTACAATTATATTTAAGAGTACCTGAAGTTTTCACCTCTCTTGTCATTGCCACAAGAAGTACAATGTATCTGTAGTCGAGATATTTCATCTTTGTCTTCTCTTCTAATTAAAAAGAATAGTTTTACTTAATCATTTAGCATTAAGGTAGATTTACATGCAAATGAACATGTACTGTATTCAATATTTTTTTTTAGGAATATCACATTAAGTTTCAATACATAAGAACTTTATATGTGATCTTATAATCTTGAAAGGAAAAAAATACACCAATAAGGGTTTAAATATTTACAATTTCTCAAGCAAAATCTGTTTGGGCGTCAACAGATTGATAATTTACTTTTACATTATTACATTATTTTATGAAATTTGTCATAATACAAAAGGGAGTTATATTTTAGCTTCATAAAATGAATTCTGTAGTTTTATGAAACTAGGAAAAGGTAGGATTTCCAAGGATTTTGAAACATGCACACGTTAGCTACATCAAGATACATGAAAACCCCATTAAATGTATTTCATTTATTGTTATAGTTGAGTGATCTGATCTCAGAAAATAATATACCCCCGGTATATGGTTATGTACAGTTAAGTACACAATTCTAAATATATATATCAAACTATTCTTAGTATAACAGTAGATGAAGAATAAGTAAATGTATTCATTATTTCCATGTATTTTCTGTAAATAATGTTTCCAGTCTTTCTGCTCATGAATAGTCCATTAATTGTTTTTAACAATTTTCCTGCAGAAATAACCAACAATCCACATAGATTTTCAATTAGTCTGCAGAGTTTAGAGCGTTTGTCCAGAGTCGCGGGGTTGATCTTTCCTTTGCGAATTTGTATTCCAATGTGCAATGTGGAAACCGGTGTTTCCTATGAGACTGTATTAGTCGAAGTTTCCTGTCGCAGTAGCTAGGAAGACCCCTCACTGCTCAGTGGTCCTCAGTGCTGAGTAAAGCTTTCAGCCCTCCACTGGCAACTGGTGACGTCTCAATATGATCAAAAAAGTCTCGAAAGGGACATTAAACAAACCAACAAACATATTCTACATATACATGTACAGCTTTTATTAATGATTCATCACAATATCATGGCTAATTGGTAATAATTTAAGAGGACATGGTTTTACAATCTCCTTAAATGCTCTTCTTTTTCCAGGAAAATCTTTAAGAGAATATTTCAAAAGACCAATCTCTCTTTCAATTTTTTGAAAAGTTTCTTCAGATATATTATTATTTATTTGTTCTTTCAAAATTGTAAAATCGTTACATTCAAGTATTGCTTTTAGACCAGTTTCGTCGATTTCGGTTCGTTAAGGAGCGGAAAATCCAGAAAAAGGAGAGAGCTTACCTTCAGATGTGTTTCCATAGATAAGACGTATCTTTTTCTGAAACAGATTAAGGAGTACATTTATACAGTATCTGTCACAAACAGTGTTGTGTAAGTATATTTGGTTTGCGACAGATTTCAGCATTGTAAATTATTTTACAAACCCTTCGTGTTATTTACAGGTACTTGTAAACAACAGTAAGCAGATTTAAAGTATCGTAAGTTTGCAGGGCTGGTTACGATAATGAAGCTTTATCTTCAAGCAACGTCATCATTTTACACATTGTCACGAGTTCCTTTCGGCTGACTAAGCGCTCCAGTTCTGCCATTGTCCTCTGTGCCTTTGCTGTTTGATTCTTCACTATTTAGCTAATTTGTACGAGTTATTGTTATATGATACTGACTGAAAACTGCACTGGTCTTGTCCAAATCACCATGCACTGGTATCCGAAAGTTAATACAGACATGACAAAGTCAGGAGAAAAACAATACTTTTCCGCCAAATTAAAAAAAAAAATTAACATTGTTCCCAAAAGTGATAAGATAAGATAATATTTATTTAAAGTCGGGTACATCAACAAAGAACATTAGCTCTGAAGGGCTATTTTCCGACTAAGGACCACTAGGGTGAGAAGGATATCTGACTACCAACCGGCGGCTGCAAGATTCTTGATCAAGGAAGATTTTTTGTGTTGTTTAACGTCCCTCTCGACAATGTTTTCCATCATGTGGAGACGCCAACATTTGTCGGCGGAAAGCTGGCATATTTTGACCTATGCTCGACACCTAGGGCCATTGAGCAGTGACAATCATCGTGCCAATTGCGACACAGGACCTCAGTTTTTAAGGTCTAATCTGAAGGACCGGTCTCCACATCCTACCGTTGGATTCCAATCCATATTTTATATGTAGTGCTAACGATTTGTGTTTTAAAAAACTAAATGGACCATTATTGGATTCTGGATTATATGGGGAGGAGTTTATAAGAGTAAGTTTTTTTCTATTTCGATTTTAAAGCATTACCAGGACAGAAAATCTATTGCCGAGATGACAGGGGACAAATTAAGACAAAAATTGCCGAAAACATTTGTTGAAGATGGTGGTGGGGTGGGGGTTAATAGATATGAAATCAATAGGATAATGATGAAATTTGAAGAACATATATACTAACTTGTTTAATATGCATTAACTTAAAACTTAAAAGAGATGCCATCTTTGCATGAAAAAGGCCAAAATGATCAATCCTCTCCCATTCTGGTGGTGGTTAAATGAGAGTAAAATATCAAAAAGCTGATAAAAATATTGAACAGTGCGATTTTTACAAAGCGGAAAAAATCTTTGATGATACCTATCATTATTAAATCGTTGTTAACGAAAGATACTGTGGTCGCCCGCGTGGTGCAGTGGTGGAGTATCCGCTCCAAAGTTGCATGATAAAGAGTTGATCCTTACCTCGCAGGTTATTATCTGGTACAAAAATAGTTTTCAATTTTCATTCTATTTCTAATGTTTCAATACATCTTTCCACCACTGTATTTAATGATATTCTTATTATTTGATTTTATTTTATTTTCAAAAATCGTTTTCCCCTTAGACTTCAATGCAATTTTTGTTGATTAACTATACTGATTACGAGGGACGTACAATAATTAATGTCATCGGTGATCGGAAAGAAACAAAAACGCTTTTCTATGATTAAATCTTAATGATTAAACTAAAATATTATCTTTTAATTAAAACACATGTCCGTAACATTTTTTATTCAATTTCTGATTGTTTTAGAGCACATTTTTTAGTATGACCCTTCGAATACTGGAATATGGCAGATCATATATGATTTCCTGCCTTGTTTTTTTTTCTTTCTTAGAGGTGGTTTTTTTTTCAAGGTTGGGAAATGAAACAAGTCAAAGGTTGAAAGTGCTGGCAAATATTGTTGGCGTGACAAAACATTAACATCCTTTTTATCCCCAGAACTCATTTGCTCTTCATGGCCCGTGGGTTTGGACGCTGTGATGAACGTGAATTCTGTGGTGAATTCCTCATTCTGGCTCCTTCCTCTCATAAACCTTTAACTTTTTTGCAGAAAGTTTGCTTTCTAGGCTCTTCCAGAAATTGAAATTAATCCCCTGGTAAGAATTTGAACAACAGCAAGACCACTAATATTTAAGAAAATAGCATATAAAACTGTTTTATGCTCTTTTCAGGCCTTTGCTGTTTTGTCAAGTGTATCTCATTGTAAATTCATTTTGAGGGTATAAAGCAAAATGGATTCAAGTTTCAATATCTGTTTGAATTTCAGACTAACGTGGAAAGGTACATTTTTTCTTATTTTTTAAGAGAATTGTTCTGATATTCCTACAAGCTGTCGTTTTCACTCATTTTTCAAAAACAATTGGGTGACCTTTGAGTATTAAACTTTTTACTGATTCTTGACTATTCATTTTAAATGCAGTGTCTCGAATAGCCCTAGTTGTCCAGCTTCTCACAATGGAACTATAATGTGAGGAAAAGTGGCCACATAAACTGTGATCAATTCATTAAAGATTTAATAACTAGAAAAGTCAAGCTTAATGGCATATGATTTTTATGCTGTATGTAATCGACGTGATGACATTATTCATTGAACGTCCCTCGTAGTTAATTAAATTTTTGAAACTTTCTCTCGGTAAATCCTTTTTACTTTAAAATGTTTTGACTTAACGTCACAACATCATGTACTCGATGGACATCTAAAGATAGAGACAAGGTAGCCCCAATTAGGTTTGGAATTTTTTAAACCTGTTCAAATGTTCTTTCTTCTGGTTTTTTTTTTTAATTTGGGGGAGTCAAATATCTAAGAATCAAATATTCCTTTATTCAAGTAATTTATGATCAGTTGTAGACAAGGCTAAAAAAAATGTCAAATTTTCCATCCCTGAAAACTGTGCAGGTGTAAAGTTCGATGCGTACATGCATGGAAAGCTATGAAGCTTTTTTTCTATAGAGTAAGAGATATAAAATAATATTTTAATTTTAGCTGAAATACGCATTTATCTCAAAGAAAAATGTATTTTGTTGAGTAGTTTTTAAAGAAATATAAATCTTTAAAATGAATCTATCAATAATGAATAAAATATATTTTAAAACGAACGTGATTGCAAAAACATTTAACGAGAGGATTATGATTTTTCATTTCATAATAATAAGCTGCAGATATTATAGTTCTAATTCTCTTATTTACCTTCTAAAAGGGCGCGCGTTCAGTCCTTGAACACATTGATAGTTGATTTCTAAATATTTACTGTAATTTGGACATTTATCTTCGAATATTCTCTTGGAGGCATGGAGGTGACAGGTTCGGTACCCATTACAGTTCCATTTGACTTTAATTTCAGATGTCTCTGACCGACAGGTGCAAGTGTTAGTTTTACCTCCGGGACAGATATGTGTGTCTGTTCGACCAAAATTAGCGGAGAGAATCTGTATCTTGGTACCTTTGGCACACCGTATAAAGCCTTTCTGGTCATCACAAAGAGCAAAGGTCTGATCTATATTAAAAAAATTTACATAAACATGTACGCGATTGAATTGAAAATATCGACTTTGTATTAAGTTCCGATTCATAATCATGAAATACTGAAATAACCAACCTGGGACTCTTGTCATTCCCATGGAAGGCAAAAGAAGGAAAATGGTTGATAGAAACGGTTTCATCAATTTCTGTCAATTGGCAACAGCGTTATTTTCCATTTAAAAAAACAAACATAAAAGTGGATTTTTTCTCTTCACGGATGTAAAATCACTTTATGCCTAATGGAATTCTCTTCAATAGAAAATCTCTCATTATTGAACAACCCGAACAGTTTTGAATGTAAAAAAAAAGGAAGCTTTAGGGGGTTTTTGATTATTGAAAGATATATTTCTGAAAAAATTCTATTCCACTTATCATTTGAACACATCTTAGAACTATGAATTAAAATAATTTGTATACATCATTAAATTTATTAATATTAAAAACAAACATTGTTTAACGACCTTTACAAAGTAAATGTACATAAAATAATGCAAAATTATCTTTTCTTGAGAGAAAAAATTAATTTGTCATCTTTTAAAAATTGTCTTCTCCTGACCGACTGAATCAAATGGCCAAACTCAAAACTTTTTTAAAAACCAGCAGGAAACTACTTTTTTTTTTCTCCCAAACATTCCGAAGTTTACTACACATGGATAAATATTTTAACTTCATGTATTTCATACATTTTTGAATATAAAAAGTTTCCATACTCACCTGCATAATAGTTTTTTTTTTATTTTAGTTTGGGGAGGAAAAGAAAATATTTCTTAAGGACAGATGATACGATCCTAAATAATATAGTAAAAAAAAATTAATTTGTTTACTTACAAAAAACTGAGGTTCCTTACCAAGCATTTGTGCAAGATAGCAGAGGGTAGTGTTTCTTATATAATCCTTTTTGGAAAATATTAATTGTCCCAGATCAAATTTTCCAGTGTTTCATTTATTTTAAGATGATCAGAAACTGGTTTAGAAATCAGATTATAATTAAAGAAGATGGGCGCATTTGGCGTGTGATCTGCAGGAATCATTTGTACGAAACATTTATTCTTTAAATGTCCATGATTTGGTTGGCTGAACATAGCTGGTCAGATTTTACAAACACGTTTATAGTTTGTTTTTTTTTCATTTAGTTTGAAAGTGTGAGATTGTAACATTTTTGTCCGTTTTTCCTAGGAGGTACTATAACATAGTAATGTTTCACAAAAAATAAACACCTAAAATATTTAATTCATATTGATGCATGATACGTGTACATGTACATTATATAGAATAGAAGATTAGAATTGAGAACCAAACTGAACCAAAATTATCTAATTCAAAATTTTGATACACAAGTACTTAAAACGAAACTGACGAAATAAATGGTTGTTTGCATAAAAAAAAGTAATTAACGCCCCATCATACCCATGCCAGGCTCGAACCAAAAACTTCTCGATTGCAGTGCACTGAACAGGTAGCCCAACTTACTGAGCTATTACCGCTACACATACACAAATAATTTTAAAAGGACAAAGAAGTACCACATTCACACATTTGGATTTTTTTTGGAAAAAGTTCGTTTTTCGTGGTCTCTGGGTCTTCTCTCCATTTTTTAAAAACGTGTATTCGTTTCTTTGAATTAAAATGCACACAAATAACGTTTCAAAATCATGGAGAGAAGACCCAGAGATAAAAAAAAATTTAGAAAAACGTGTTTTAAAATGTATCATTTTGTACCAAATGTCTGATCTGGCCAATTTTCAAGTTATTTTTTAGCAAATCAAATCTCAATTTCGGGAATATATTTTCCTTTCCTGTCACAGGAACCCGATAAATAAAAAAAAATGTTTTTAAAATTTCATGTAGCATGTCGATAAAATTTTCACTTTTCAATTACGCCCAGATTCCTGCCGAATGTCAATCAAAAGCTCCCTCGTTCTTTTGAATGCTTTTGATACTTTACAAAAATATAAAGTCATACAATACAGATATTTGAGGACGTATCGGCTGACCTAAAGATGGCCTGAGAATGAACGATGCAAAACTAAACCATAATGTTAAGTATTGCCAGTTTAGTAAAGTTTAAATATTGACTATACCTGGAAAATATAATTGTCAATATCTGCACATGCAGTGCTGCAGTAGAATCTGTAAATGTGACTCTCTATAGGTAAGGTGTGTTATATATAAGGGTTAAGGTTACATGTACTACGAAGTAGATGAATGAATGTAACAGGTTTTTGGTAATTCAAATGAAATATTCGACATCATGCATTTATTAATGGTCTGTGGTCGTGATTACCTGGTATTAACTAATAATTTAAACTGGACAAAAAAGAGAATTTCATATTGACTTAATATACTTCTATTAATTGATATTTGCTTGATGTTAATGTTTAGAGTATTTTATTTTTTTTTTCAAAATTTCTCAAATATGTGACTGTCGGCTACAGTGTACAAAATGATTCATGCTATATATCAGTCTTTTATACACAATTGATAAAAGGCTATGTTGCAATGTCATATTATGAAATTCAACATAAAAATATATTTACTACTGTGTTATTTCATATTGAGTTTAAAATCATAAAATAATCTATTTCTGGGAAAAGTCAACATATTACCGTAGAATAATGCCACATACATAAGGGAAGTTGAGGACGGAGAAGTTAGCTGAAGTGTACTTGTTTGTCAACAAATTTCTTCCAAATGCCTTGTCTTATTGTAACAATATACATCCCAATCACAGACACTTGGGACCCTTTAATTTTCTAAAATCTTTGATTGACACACCTTTCCCCTATTTTATATATTAAATATCGAACCATTTTGTCTCTATATGGTTTTTAAAAAATATATAGCTTCCGACTAGTACATAAAAAGAGGGTCGGAAACGATAGAGCTTATAAAAACAAAAGTGTAACATTATTGGAAACGTGTTATTATTCTTTAAATATTTTCACATTCTTAAAGAGATGATTTTCAAAATAATATTATAGGTATATTTAATGATAATTATATAATAAGATGGGTTTTTTTTATTTCTAATAATTAACTACTGCATACGTCAGTTTCCTTATCACCTACAAAGAGTCAGATATTGTAGGACCAATACTGTGCGTAACGTTTTGTTTATGAGATTGCTAAATCAGCATTTTGCTTGTCTCCCATATACTGAGTATATATACGCATGCAGTCACAATTTTCGACAAATCATAAATATACTGTTCCTATGATGAAACTGTTGTTAAAACAATTTTTCAGTTGTCAAAATATGAAAACATTTACAAATAAAATTTTAAGGTAAATCCAAGAACTAGATAGCGGAAATTTTCACTTCTTGTAATTGGTCATCAGCAAAATTTCCACTCTGATTCTACATTCAAGTACTCTGAAGTTGATAATGAAAGAATTTTTAAGTTCTTCATTGACAAGATTTATGTAGTCTTCAGAGATAAGTTTTAGGTCAAACTGTTGGAATTCCAATATTCCTTAAATGTGCTCCTTAACTAGCTGACCTGTTTATATATTCCTAACAAGCAGAATTTCTTCAAAAACTACATGAGAAGAGGAAACACTACCTGTGGCCTTCAATTCGATATAAAGATATAACGACAATGTTTTATGAATTAACAAAAGTTATTTTCATTCGTACGTCGACTTAATATATCCCAGTGAACTTATAAATAAAAGACACCATAGGGTCTACCATATGTTTCATATTTGGATGTTTTCCTGAATATATAGTCGATTAAGGCCAATTAACAACTAAAAGTATGCCAAACGAGATCACTTATGCTTCCATTCTATCGTCAACTTTCCTTCTTTTTTTTGTAAAACTATACAATTAGTGATTACCTGTATCTCTTCAACCTTATCCGTTTTTAACAGCTTGTTCTGAGTACGATTAATTTTTAAAAAGAGGCGTGCTACTCACTGATTAGTTGATGTTACAGGGATTTCATCAATCTCATTTAGAGTCAGCTTTTCGTAAATCTTATGGTCGTTATACTGACATTGTTAGCAAAAACATCATATCATTGGGTTTTATTTTGGCTGACTTGTTTCATACCAATTGTTAGATTTTTTTATACTGAGTTGACTAAGGGAAAATCATTTTACTTGATCAATACATAGGGCTCACAGAGGGTATGACCGGTCAACGGGGGATGCTTTTTTCTCCTAGGCACCTGATCCCAGCTCTGGAATTTCCGGTGCTCGTTTTTGCCCTCTTCACACATTTGTAATGTTCATAGATTTCCTGAGATCATTCGTTATCTTCACCTTTTATAGTTAAACCTTTCTTCTAGTTTTGATTGAAAGCAACTTAAATTAATATTTATATTTGTATTTATGGTTTGTTATAAAACCAGTCTATGAAATATATGAAGATAACGAACAGTATTCAAGCTCAAAAGTACATGAGACAATAAGAATTTAGAGTAGAGCAATCACGGACGTTCAAAATATCTTGGATTTGTTGGATCAGGTGCCATGGAGGAACGAGCATTCCCTGCCGACCAGTCACACCCGCCATGTTTTCTTTGTCATGATCGGGAACTTATCAGAGAAAATTCAGTGTGTAAATAATGCCTAAAAATTAGTACATGTACGAAAAACGAAAGTCAGCCTTGACCAAATGATGAATTGTATTTGCTGACAAGGTCATTGCATCGACCACAGAACTTAGGAAATAATGACTTTAAACGAGACTGCTGATATTCTTATTTCATCAATAAATTAGTCAATGGTTTGCCTTGTTTTAGAAATTGTTCATACGTAGAGCATGCTCTTCAGTATCGAATCAGCTGAGAGATATTATCAAGTAATTTGTATTAAAAGTTGTTTTAATTCAAGTTCATCACTTGACAACGAAGTCATTGTTTACCCATAAACGATCGACCTGGTTTCACATCAACAACATCAGTAATCCACGTAGTCCATGCATTCAATTTGTTGAGTTTAAAATAATGAATTATTTCATAGGTTTAAACCTATTATATACAAGCATAAAGGCACTTTTCAACTTATCACATTTTATTGATCTGCCATCTGCCAGGAGAAAATTATGTAAAACGAAACACTTATATAAAATTAACTATAACGTTCCATTATATAGTATTCGAATAATGTACAGCATAAAACATTGATACAACAAACATACATTCCACATTTTCTATTTAACTCTCCATCCCTTAAAACTAGACCAAAGTTGTATTAAGTCATTTGCATTTGTTGTTCTTATGTTCACCTTGTCTCCAGCTTTCAGGACCAAGGGTACCGTATTTGCACAATTTTCATGACCCGGACCTCATTGTTTCAGTTTCCGTATCCTTTCTGGACTCCATTTACCAGAATTTGTGCATCAAAGATTTTATTCACCTCAACAAAACTTGTCCAGGTAAACACATAGAGTCCGCCAGATGGCGTAGTAAAGTATCCACTATGGGGATTGTAGGCATTTCCGTAGTTGTAATAAACACCATCATATACAACATTGACGGGAGTGTCTCTATGTAGATGTAATCTCTTGGTTATGTACGCATTAAAGGCGATCATATAGAGTTATCTACAACAAAGAATACAACAAAAACTAGTGCTAATTGTAACGGGGACCGTTACAGATGTTCCCCAAACGCTCCCCAACTCCCTTTTGGTGCCATATTCCCTGTAATCTCTATTAGATAAGAAATACTTTATGGAATTTAGACTTAATCAAGGTCTTCCCAGAAAAATACAAAATATATTTAAAAATAGGCATTGCACGCGTGTTCATGTGCGTAACGACCATATTATCTTGTCTACACTATCTCAAATTTTAATATACTTAATATCAAAGCATTTAATCCAAAAGTATAAAAAAAAATACACTCATTCGGGTGTATTTTTAATTTTACTCATTTCACTTGCACACACACGCAAGCACGTGCATAATGACTACACCTTCTTGTAGGAGTCCCTTATATTTATCTATGTTCTAAATCCAATTCTTGTTTGGTTGAAAAACAAGGGAGTTATGGCCATTTGAAGTTTCAGCCAATCAAATTACAGCACACATGCATGCGCGTGATTTCATAATTTTTTTTATCTTTATCGTATTGAAGGATATCTAAATAAATGACTATATTTTAAAATTCGAAACATTTCGTCAAAAAACAAAGGAGATATAGCCATATAAGGTTTCAGCCAATCAGATTGCAGCACACTTGCATGCGCGTGATTTCATGATTTTTTTCTATATCATATTTTAGGATATCCTAATGCATGACTATGTTTTAAATTTCAAAGCATTTCGTCAAAAAACAAAGGAGATATAGCCATTTAAAGTTTCAGCCAATCAGATTGCAGCACACGCGCATGCGCATGCTTTCATGAAAATTTTTATATATCATGCTGTAGATCTTCATAATGTAGGACTATGTTCAAAATTTCAAAAGATTATGACAAGAAACAAGAAAGATATTGAGACTTTAGTTTCAGCCAATCAGAGCAAAGCGCACGTGCATGCGCGTGAGATCTTGCTATTTTGACCATGCCATCTTGTCTATACTACTAAAGTATCCTTACATTATGAGTTTCAAAAAAATTCATCAAGAAAAAGAAAAGTTACAGCAATATCCATTATATTGGTCATTTTTCGTGTTGCACGTGCGCGCTCTTGCAAGCACGTGCGCGCAAAATGACCTTCGTTCGGCAAATCTACATAACATGTCTACTGACCCTAAAAACATTTTACCTTAGTCGGATGTGTAGTTTACAAGATCACTCGTGGACAAAATTTTCCCAGGAAGAAGAAAAATAATAATAATAATAATAAGAAACAGAGTAAAAACAATATGTTCCCCAACTTCGTTTGGGGAACATAACTAGTGGTGATGTGAATACTTTGCTCACTAAATGATACCCCGGCCTCCCATATGAATATCATGGGAAAGTCCATGTTTTGCTCTGGGAGATACGAAGTAAGTCTCAGACATAACATAGGAGGTGTTATATAATAAAGAATCTGTGAAAGTATCATTATATTTTGTTTAGTGGTAAAGGAGGAGTTGTGGACGAGAGATGAATACCTTTTAATATTATAGAAGAATGGCAGTATCTGTGTTTTGTTATGGGAAACCTAAAATATGTTTCGGATCAAACAGTTAGATAAAAGGTAGCAAAGATTATGTGAAAGTCTCATTAAAATTTTATCCTTTGATATAAAACAGATTCGGATAAGAGATGGGTACCCCAAAGAGTAACAAACAGAACGGACGGACAGATGCCATCATAATCATATTGGAGGAGGGGTATCATTTAGTGAGCTCACTGCTCACCTCTAATTTTCATATTTTTTTTTTTAAATACGTTTTTGCATCCTTTAGAATTTGCATTTTCTACATTTCATTTTTATAAACATTTTATTTTAAAAATTCAACGAATGAATTTTACTTCATACCATTAGATTGTGGATTTGGACTCTTCACACATCTGTATTTAACCTCCAGATATTTGGAATAATTAGGACACGGGTCTCCAAAATACTGATCAGCAGCATGAAGGTGACAGGTCTGGTACCCATTACAGTTCCATTTCACCTTGAGTTCTGACGTCTTCGAACGACAGGTATCAGATTTACTTCCTGGACACACCTGTTTGTCTGTTCGTCCGTAGTTGGCGGATATTATCTGAATCTTGGTTCCTCTCCAACAGCGTATGAAGCCTTTTTGACCTCCACACAGGGCAAAGGACTGATCTAACTTGATAAGTTTATGTTTAAAAAAAATTTCACAAAATCTATAAATCTGAATCATTAGAACTACAAAATACATTCTGGGTTTACCTGAAGCCCGCATCTCTTTGGTCAATGCTAAAAGAATGAAAATGCAAACCCAGGGGAAGTATGCCATCTTTGACTTTGCTACAAAATAAAATAGAATAAAATACTAGTTACTACAATCAGAAGAATAAACGGTGTAAAATACAATGAATTATGTTGTCATACTTTTTTTTTTAATTTTAATGATCTGTTAATTGTTAATGTTGTGTGAAAAACTATACCTACCTGAGCAATGTCTTGTTGAATCAAGAGACAAAAAGTTGCAATAACTACGTGTCTGTATGTACATGTATATATACTTTAATTATCGTGTTCATATGATATAGCCATCAATATTTAATGTTTCGTTTTCTATTTAAAAACATTATAATGTTTCTATTTTCTTCATTTAATCTGTTACCAGTATGTTGTGTAATTTTCTCACACGTGCTTTTAACTTCTGTTAACAGTTATTGCAATAAAGATGTATCAAAGAGTAGGAAAAATTGAAAAGATCGATAAAATCTAATTCTCTATATATTAGATGTATTTAACTACCGTACGTGATAGAATAGTGGTAGGACATAAACATATAGTTAGTCACTGTTCCTTAGCGTTTTCTTCATATTTCTTACTTTGTGTCATCTGCTATTTAAGTCACCAATACAAGCGTTATCAAGCAAAGTTTTTAGGGAACCCATTGTCACAAAGAACTATATGCGGTATTAACCAACATTTGCCCCCCCAAATCAAACTTTGATGGAGTAATATTTAATTAAGTCCTTAAACAGGGGAGTATATGCTGACTTCAAAGCACTGAATAATTTCATAAGTAATGACGTCATATGTACGTAATGACGTCACAAATATGACGTAAATTTCAGTTTTTTATGAATTTTGTAGAAAAATGTACATATTTCGTCGATATTTTAAATAAAAAACCGAGCGCATGTGTGTTCAGGATAAATATTTTGATATAATGTGTAGAATGATAATATCAATGAAATATGTCAATATTGTTCCTGAACACACATGCGCTCTATAAATTTTAAAGATTAAATTGTTGAAATTTTGTCCATTTTGTCCTCTTTCTGAAAAAGGATATAAAATCGGACTAGTTTGTGACGTCATAAAAACAGAAATTGTGAATACACTGCTCTGGAACTATAATATTTTCTGTTAACTTATATTTCTCGTACAATTTATTGAATTCAGCACATTTCAGGAAGTTTTCAAAATTTGACTTTTGTGGGGGCAAACATATGCAATATACCGCATATAGTTCTTTATCAATTTTTGTTCGTAGATTAATCCAACAATCAATCATGAATATATGGACAAGCAATCAGTAATTACACAAATAAATCCTAATAACATTAGAACATCTATTACTTTTTGCAAGAAGGTGGCAAAGAATCAAAAACCTGCAGTTTAAAATCGAAATTGATATAAAATAATGCTCGTGGTCTTGATGTATTCGCGATCTATGCATGATATGGGGGAGGGTAAAAAAAAGTAATAAAGGGCGAGACTTGCACGAGGCATGATTAGGGCATTGGACGAATATAGGTTTGGTCTGTTAGGTGACCTTTATTAGATCAATGCAAGGGGTAGCTGCAGGATAAACTAATACACATTCTACAAACATTTTTTACTTGTACAATTACCACTCAGAATTTTGAAAAAAAAATCTTAAAATTGTATTCATTCTTATGTTTGTAAGTCATAAATGCCTTTTCATTTATAGAAATTTTGTCCGATCCTTGGTATATGAAAAATATTGAAAGCTAAACGCTAAATAAGACTAAAGCCCCAATGGACCACAACGCGTACCTGAGTCACTTTGGCCCTTCTATTGTTTATCAGCTCATAATTCTTTTCGTAATATATTCTTATGTAAGTAACATTTAATAGTCCCATTCTACCCCAGGGGCTTATTATTAAAATAAATTTAAATCAACACTACCTGCGGAAGCTTCCGGAGTGTCCAATCATAGCTTGGCTATTCTTGATCATGAGAAGAAGATTTTTAAAGACTGATTGCTATAAAGAAGACATTGTGCTACAACATATTCTGTAAGTTGTGTAAATCAGATTGCTATTCTCAAATACACCAGAGAACTTTAAGAAAATTTTAAATCGCCATTTTTTTTTTCAAAAGTCCATAAATCAAAACGTACTACTTCTCTACACTTTATACAGTCATTCCTTAGAATAAATGAAAAACTATGCATTATCTAAGACAATTGCTTCTTCAATAAAAATGTAGGTAGGAATTACCCCGGTATGCTTTTTGAGATTGTTCATCAACAAAATTATTTTATAAAAACCAGTTTGATTCTTCACAACAGTACTCTGAAGTTGATACTAAAAGGATACTGGAGTTTCTCTTGACAGCATTTATGTAGTCTCTGGATACCAGGTCTTCCAACAAACTGTTGGAATAGAATGGACTCTAATTGTAATCCTTTATTGACTGACCTCTTTTTATATTCCTATTCAGCAGAATTTATTAAAAAAACAAGAAAACTTGTTCTGACCTTCAACTCCACATTTAGCTATATCGACGATGAATTATCAATATCAATAGTTACTTTCATTCATATGTCGAAATAATATATCCCATTAAACTTAAAATAAAAACACCAAAGAGTCCGTCACTTCTGTTTTAAATGATTTACGTACAAAAGAGCCAACTACCAACTAAAGTTTTAGACAAGTGCGATTATTTTAACAATATGATTTCGATAGCCATTTTTCCTAAATGTAGCTGGATATGGTGTTTACGTGCTATTCGATATACTATACAGCATGTTTCGAGTACGATCAATTCTTTAACCGAGACAGGCCGTCGACAAATAAATTCATGTGTATTTCAAATTTGAATATTTACATTTGCTGATGTCTTTCCTTATATAACAATGCTAATAAAATTGAAATTCAATTTTCAATGACATGCAGTTGGTCACATGATAAGACACTCTTGCGCATGGAAAGCAAACTGCAGAAGCAATTTGGAAAGTTCTGACTGTGACGTCACATGTCGTAGATACTTTACGTTGCATTTCAAAATCAAAGTCTAAATAATGCCTATATTTCTGTAACATGAATAAAACCTTCGGGCATTATAGAATTTGATCAAGTGACGACTTCATGTCATACCCCAATGAAACTTTAAAAATGATATCTTATTTCTTAATTGAAGTCAGCATTTCGTTAATTTCATTGTTATTGTAATGATTTTGTGATTATCATCGGGCCTACGGAACTACGGAATGTTCCGTCAATTTGATCATTACATGTGGCTAACGACAGATGTGAATGTCAACAGAGAATGCATACTGTTCCTGGGGTTCTAATCCCACCTCTAGAATTTCCAGGGTACCATGTTTTAGATCCTCTTTAGAGATTTGTATGGTTTATAGATTATTTTTAGATCAACCACTCCTCGTTTTCTTCACCTTTTTCATTCCTAATATATTTCTATGTCAAATTGTGATCATGACTTTCCTGTTCTTGAGATTTCTCAAGACATTTCTTTCATATATCTGTGTTATTCTTTGATTACTCGAGTTTTATTCCGATTGAGTATGTGGGTATAACTTCTCTGGATCTCTGTCCTTGCATCTACCCCTCCAACTAACTGACGACCTGAAGCATAGATTACTTATAAAATATTTGTAAAACAAACAGATAAATATTAAGAGCAAAGAGCACAGGCGTTGAGAAAATGTTTTATAGATACTGAATTCTAAGACATACCATTACGCTGACATTTTTCTGAATTATATATTTCTGTCAAATGGAAATACATTTGTTTCAAAAATTACGCTCAGCAATCATTAAACACGTTTTTGCTTTTGAAGCAGGATGAAATTTACTTTTGTATACACTTAACCTGCATAGAATTATCTCAGAAGATATTTTTTAAAAGTAGAATAGATCGACGGCTGATATATGTATGTAAATTGCGGCTTTAATATGTAACAATACCGACTCTACTTCTCGTAATAAGGTACTTGAAATTGACCTATCCTCACCCAGGTTCTGGATTTTATTAGTGAAATTGTAGACAATTAATATCCAAATCCTTCAATTTCGTACATTATCTCTCTTTTTTTAATTTATTCTTTAGAAGTAAGCTAGCCCAATGTTATGTTGCTTGTATTACAAAGGGCAGATGTGTTAATAACTTTAGCTCGGACTTTTGGGACAATTTTCATACTTGAGCAGGATTGCATGAAATAATAAGGTATTCCTACATAAAGGAATTCTCAATTTTATTTTCTTTCATGGATTTCATTAAAAACATTATTACTCGTACATCATATAAAACAAATAGACTTTCGAAAAATCCTTTATTTTACCTTCCAACCCTTAAAACTAGACCAAAGTTCTCTCAAGTTATTTGCATTAGTCGTACGAATGTTTACTTTGTCTCCAGCTTTCAGAACCAAAGGTACTGTATTTGCACAATTTCCAAGACCAGAACCAGGCTCGTTGTTACAGTTTCCGTATCCTTTGTGGACTCCATTTACAAGAATACGAGAATCAAAAATCTTTTTGACAGCAACATGGCTTGTCCAGGTAAACACATACAGTCCGTCAGACGGCGCTGTAAAGATTCCATTTTGAGGGTTGTAAGCGTTTCCGAAGTTGTAATATACACCATCATAAACAACATTGGACGGAGTGTTTCTATGTAGATGTAAATCTTTCGTCATGTACGCATTAAAAGCAATTATTGATTTGTCTATGGGAAAAAAGAAAGGTAAGTCATATTAAAAAAATCTTAATTAGAAAGTAAGATTTTATGTAAATATTATACATTAGGACAGCTTTAGTTTAATAGAGGAAAAAACTACAAGTTCATTAATATTACCTTGCAATATTTTATCTCAAAATTCATTTCCTCTTATAATTAAAAGCTTAATTTTTAGCTTTTGTGTATTGTTAGTAGATGGAATATGTATAGGTTAAATAAACATGCTAGATTTTTCAATTATCATATGTGTTTTCCGTCTGAATTCATTTTTTATCTATTTTATTGTATTCTTTCGATTATCCATTTTCGTATAATTCTTTTTAAGGCTATAAACATGTCATTTTTTCATACCTTTTTGCAGATTTTGACTCTTTATGCATCGATATTTAACCTCAAGATATTTGGTGTATTTAGAGCATGGATCTCCAAAGTACTGATCAGCAGCATGAAGGTGACATGTCTGGTACCCATTACTGTTCCATTTCACCTTGAGTTCTGACGTCTTTGATCGACATGTATTTGTATCAGATTTACCACCCGGACACATCTTTTTGTCTGTTCGTCCGTAGTTGGCGGATATGATCTGAATCTTGGTTCCTCTCCAACAGCTAACGAAACCCTTTTGTCCACTACATAGACCGAATAAATGATCCAATTGAAAAGTTTATGTTTCAAAATAAATATCACAAAATCTATAAATATAAATCGTTAGAACTACAAAATCATTCTTGTTTTACCTGAAGCCCTCAACTCTTTGGTCAATGCTATAAGAATCAAAATGCAAACTCGGGGGAAATATGCCATCTTTGACTTTGCTTCAAGATAAATTAGAATAAAATAAACTAGTTACTATAAACATTAGAAGAAACAGTTTTAAATACCAGGGTACAATATGTTGTCATACCCTGTCAAATTTGATCATCTGTTCATTGTTATTATTGTGTGAAAAACTTTACCTACCTGAGCAATTTCTTGTTGAATCAAGAGACAAAAAGTTGCAGTAACTACGTATCTGTATGTACATGTATATATACTTTAATTATCGTGCCAAAGTTCCCCATATGTTACTTTCGTGTCAGAATATTATTCCATCAGAAATGTTCATATGATATAGACATCAATATAATGTTTCATTTTCTTTAGAAAAATATTATATTAATGTTTTTCATTTCCTAATGATTTTTATTTGTTGCCAATATATTGTGTAATTTTCTGACACTTGCTTTTATCTTCTGTAAAATGTGATTGTCATATACATGTCTCAAAGAGCAAAAATGAAAATAAAGAAAATATTTATTAAATCTAATTCCTCCACATATTATAATATTTATTACCATACGCGATAAGATTATGGTAGGATTTTAAAAATCGTTTAAATCATCATTTCGTTAGTTCTATTGGCATTGTAATGAACTTAAGTGACCATCATTGGACCATTGGCTGACTTGTTCTGACTTGTTAATGCTAAAATTAACGACAGAATGTTCCGACAACTGATCAATACATGTGACTAACAATGGGTGTGAAGGTCAACAGGGAATGCATACTCCTCCTGGGGTTCTATCCCACCTTTAGAATTTCCAGAGTACCAAGTTTTAGACCCTCTTTAGATATTTGTATGGTTTATAGAATTTTTTTTAGATCAACCACTCCTCGTTTTCTTCACCTTTTTCATTCCTAATATATTTGCATGTTAGACTTAGATCCCATGCAGTGACACCATCCCGCTCTTTGGGATTGAGATTTACGAGAGAAAAAAAACATTTATACATTTATGCTGACAAACACTGATGTAAGTCGCGATGTAAAGAAGATTGTCGTTGTCTTTAAACTTTAAAAATATTGCTTTAAGTTCAATTTATAAAATTAATTTTTTTTAATAGAATTTAAAATAAAAATGCTTCCAACATTAGCTCTGACACTTTAGATAATAGCTTGTATACAAAACAGCAATGAAATTGATTTTGAGGGAAAATCATTAACAAAGAGGGGGTTTTGACAACAACAAAATATGAGGAAGTCTTTAGTTTTATGAATTTTCTTCCACTAATAGCTTTCTTGAAGTTGATGTTGATTTAAAGATGTTTATATTGACAATATCCATGAAGTTTCAAAACATTTCGATTGGGAATGCTCAGCAATAGTGCTTATTTATTTTCTAAATAATATTATATATTATATTGAATATAGCGTAAACTTTACTTTAGTAAACAATGATTATCAACAGTATTTTTTTGCTAAGATTGCTTCAATATAAGAAAAAAGAACATGGACATGTTAGTGGTATATTTTACTTTATAAACATGTACAAATGTTTATCAATTACAATTCATTTAACAGAAAGAATTATATAAAGAATCGTAGATATAACATCATTTTACACTTATTACTTCTATACTAAATTTTCCTATCCGAATATTGACAATTTTTATCAGGCACTGTTACATTTATTGCTTTATTTTAATTAAGGAACTCAACAGAAAAAAATGTCAAAATAGTACTTGATATATCTGTGAGAATGTCATCATTCACAAAATATAAAAATTTTCACTCCATCACATTACACTTTCAAAACATATATCATAAATATGGAAAACAATCATATTTATATTAAAACTAACGTCTGTATATATATTTCTCTGAATATGAAATCTACATATTTGAGTTTCTTTGGTGAAATATATGTACAGCAATTATTTAGAATGTGACATAACGCATCCAATATACAACAAATAACAAAATGGATAATAAATGTATTCATTCTCATATGAAAATGATAAAACTATAATACCATTGTATGATCATCAAATACAAAATTATGAACATGAACAATGAATTTTTAGGATTGTCTTTAAGTATATCGTGAATATCCGGGTATTGATGGATTCTGACTTCAAAAAGTATTTTCTATGGAATAGATGAGTGCGCGTGGAAGCTTAGAGACAATTCAAACAAATCTAGAAAAAGAAACATTAGCGTCTTCTATATCTTTCATTAAAAGAACAATTAAAACAAATTGGCAGATTTTTTTTTAACTTTTTAAGTTCATTTTTCCCAAATACACCGTATTTTTATTCTGTTCCAATCATTTCTCTAATTTTGTCTCCCGTTCTTATTCTTGATTTTAAAAATATTTCTCTTGTGTCAAAAAGTTTTTGTTTAACAAGAAACTAAACATAGCAAGAAATAAAAGGTTTGACAAAACAAGATTTAATTTAAAAGCAATGTACAAACAAACCTTTGGTAATTTATCAACCATTATTTATTGTTTTCAAATTTCTATTTATTTTTAAATTAGAGTTAGGTGTGAGTTTCGAAAAATTTTCCTATTTTTGCCTTACACTTTATAATATCAATAGAAACCATTAAATCCAAACACATTCAGAATCTTATGTTATTGAAGATGCGTGTTATATACAGGGGAAATGTTGGTTAAAATATGTACTTGTAAACAAGCGACTGTTTTGCATGCCTTCCTAAGTTTACTTTTAATTATCATTATGTAGTTAAGCTGCTAGTAAGATGGGATCAAAGACGTCTTTTCGACAATTATCCCACTTGTGACTGTAATAATTGCTCTTGTTTTGCTTGTTTTTAGAAAAATGAGTGACCTATGACATTCCAAGTACATTTCACACCCTCTGATATAATTTACTAACTACCGTATAACTGGTTTTTAATGCGGGTGCAAATTTTTGCGATTTAATCCTGAAATAGGTATATTTATTTTTTGCGATTTTAATTTTTGCGATTTTACTTTGACAATAAAGTCTATTTTTATTGAATTTTATAACAGACATTTTTTTTTTAAAGTCTATTTTTATTTTTTATTGAACAAACCAAAGCAATTTAAAATACAGGCACTGTTACAATCATTGCTTTTATCAATTAAGGAACTCAATAGGAAAAATGTCAAAATAGACCTTAATAGAATCTGTGCTAAGAATGTAATCATTCACAAAATACATTAAATATATAAGTATATCATTAACTTTCTTGTACATATATTTAGAATTCTTTCATGTTGAATACGATGTTAAAATAACCATATATCATAAATATGGAAAACAATCATATTTATATTAAAAACTAATGTCTATATATATATTTCTTTGAATATGAAATCTACAAATTTGAATTTCTTTGGTAAAATATATGTATGTATAAAATTTTATTTTGAATGTCTGAAATTAGTGGGATCCAATATAAAGAAATGAATTGAAAACAGTAATAAAATGTATTCATGTTTACTTTGAAAAAATGAAAATGATTTGTTAAAAACAGAAATACAAAATTATGATGATAGAACAATAATATTTTAAAAGTATCTGTAGTATATCGTGAAAATCCGGGTTTGATGGCTAACTATACTTCAGAGAGAGAGAGAGAGAGAGAGAGAGAGAGAGAGAGAGAGAGGGAGAGAGAGAGAGAGAGAGAATTCAAACAGATATAGAAAAAAAACATTTTTTTTTTGGTATCCTTGATTAAATTGCAAATGAATATATTAAAACAAATTGGCAGTTTTTTTTTTACATGCATTTACAAAGCGGGGATTCATGTTTTGAACTCAGAGTTTCAATTTTAAATCTGATAAATCGATTTCTCTTTTTGTCTGCGATAATAACAGGGTAAGTGAACATTTGTCAAAACAAAATTTTAAAAATATTTGAAAACATCTCAGGTGATATAACAATTGTTTACAATTACAATGAACCACAAATCGCCACTTTCTGACAGTGCGGTATTGATTTCCAAACATTCCGATTAATTTATAACAAATTTTAATTTTAAAACGAAATCTAATCTAACATAACTTAAACCAATAGGTAAGGATGTCAACTTCAATATGTAATAAATTAAAACCTTAACTGAATCACTTTTAGCAGTATATCTATATAAAATCAGAAACCATAGGTTGACTCATATGAAATATATTTAACATAAGTTTGACTTAGTGCCTAGCTTAGTTTGCTTTATGTTACGGTTTAAGACAACTTATGTGCCTTACAGGTTTATAATTATCAAAAGAAACCATTAAATCCAAAAACTTAGCAAGCTTTATGTTATTGAACACTGGTGAAGGTTCCAATACAAGCCGCGGAATAGCCAAACCGACAATTGTTGGTTTCATATAAATAAATCTTGAAATACAATGTAAGAACAAATAAATTTTGCATCTTTAGGAATTCGTTTTATTTTTAATTATCATTGCTGTTGATATAAGTATATTATATGTAAAATACGATGAAAACGTGCAATGGCATTATTTACATATATCCGGTATCTTGTGATTGATAATGAAAATTGGATTTTTTTGTATTTTTTTTAGAAAAATGATTAAGACTTATGAGAATTCCAAAAATAGCACACCCTCTAGAAAAATCCAGTTATACTATAGGTTCTTCGAAAAAAAAGCAATATTTACTTGAGAACGGTTTTGTGAGGTTCATAACAAAAAACATTTTTCTAAGTATTCACTGAAAACACTTCAAGCATTTCTGTAGAGCTATCCAGAATTTGTACATCTTACAATATTGACAACAAATCGTAATAAAGAGATGCCATGCAATACTTAAATGAATTATTATCAAAAGAAGATTTCAAAACAAGAAAATAAAGTCTTAGACTGTAGATTGGGTAACACCATGCACGGTTTTGTGGAGCATGCATGTTACCTTTGTATAATACTGAATACCACAACCAGGTAATGGGAGACCGTTCTCACCAACAGGACACGGGGCATCTAGACCTGGCATACCCTGACCATGCAAAACCATGACCAATTAGCATGTATATATGTCACAAATACAACTTTTGGGACACAACACAAAATGACAATAACAACAAAAATCGACAGATATTATGACAACAAACATAAAAAAAATATCACAGTAAGGTAGTTTTTAATATTTTATTTTCACAAATATCTATTCGCTTAAATATATATATTTTTTCCAACATGACTGTTTAAAGTTCAACATTTTATTTAAAAAAAACTGTAAATTTTAGTTATAAGACGAATATAGCCTATGAACTATTAATAGCAAAAACTGCTATACCTGGGTATTTATATTCAACTTTTAAATTTGACCTATACAATCATATATTTCAATATTCTTTCCTACGTAGATTATGCCTTTCTGAAATAATGTAAAGGAAATAGAAAATGACAAAATATTACCTGTATTCCTTTCATTCCTCGTTTGCCCCTTCTTCCCCTATCCCCCTAAATAATAGAATGCACACTGGGATTTTTTGTACAATGCAACAAATACGGGATTCAAAACATTAACAAGAAAACCTATCGAGCACATTCACGCGGTTATCGTTCCTACCTTTTCTCCTTTCTGACATGTACATGCAGCCTCACCCACCGTGTTCAGAGGCCCGGGGGGACCTGGCGGGCCCTGAAAAAAGGGGGTACAAAAATAATCATATTTGGATAAAAATCAATTATATACCGTATAACGGGTTTCCTGGCAGGTGTAAAATTTGGCGCAATTTATTTTAGCGGACACAGGGTTTCAACTCTTTGCAGATGAACACAAAGAAGAGAATAGAATATTTTAGCGATTAATATTTTAGCGGGCTACCATAAAAACGCCAAAATAAGCCAAAATTAGCACCCCGCTAAAATAACCTGCTATACGGTATTTTTTGCAGATATTTCACAGAGTAAAGATTTACAGATCAAAATGACAATTTTAATCACTTAATACTTGTAAACAGTCAAAATTCTTAGTTAGAAAATTTAAAAAATCGAATTGTAAGGATTCCTTTTCAAGTACAAATTAGTTAAAGATTAAACTTTGCCATGTATTTCTTGAACAGTAATTCATATTGTAGGATTAGTGATGCATATATATGTCGTAATAATAATACAGCATAAAAATAAATATAATTGTGTTGAAAGTTGCAAATAATAAAAAAAATATTTCTTCAGCCAATAAATCAATGATCTGTGCTTTTAAAGAATGCCAACAAAAACCTGGAAAAATAAAAAGATCATGCATATTAGCAAGCATATTAACCACACGTGAACTATGCATCACACAGTATTCAATACACTTGCACTGATCCTATACAGTTTTAAAATTTTAAAACATGTCAAAAGTCATTTTGGCTGAATTAAAAAAAAATATTAAATTATTATTTTATATTTTAAAGGTTTCAAACATTAAAAGATGTGATAATAAAAATGCTTTAATCAATTACAGTGGAGCTTTAGATCCATTTACTTGAGACAAACAGAAATGAAGTTATATAATTTGTATTATCTACTGCAATTAAGATACATTAATGTGTTCTGACTATTAATTCCAAATTAAAAAAAATTACCATATCAGTAAGAATTTTAAGAATTTGAAAACGTGCTGTAACTACTCAGTTTTAATGGTGCTTAAAATAAATTTGTCAATTCCATGCATGGTATCATCAAAGCGTTTTTAAAACAGTCAACCCTTGAAACATCGCATTTTCTCTCCTGTTAACAGAGATATTTGAATGCTGATGCATTAAGGATGGACTGTATCATCAAACTCAGAGAACTCACCATCGGGCCTTGTAGACCTCTATCACCAATCTCTCCTTTTTCCCCTTGTGGCCCAAATCGCCCCTATGTTAATCAATTACACATAAAATCTTACCATTACACACCTAACTGTTATAACTACATTTTATTGGAAGAGTACCTAAAGCAATCATTTTATTGCTAACTCTTATTAAGCCTTTTTCAGAATGGACTACGTTTCTAATAAATACTTGCATAGGATACTTGCAACTACAAGGATTTCTTCAGCTAGAACACGATGGAGGATTGAAGTTATTGAATAACATTCATTAAAGGTCCACGTGTTGCAGAGTCATTATACATAAACATGTATCATTTGACATCCACGTGTTTGTAGCAAAGGAACTACAACATCAAATTTTCTAGCCATTCAAAACATTGAAGCCATAAAGCAACAATGAAGCTGGGGCCCTTCTTAGCAATAAATTTTTACATAAACCTGTCAATGCATAAACCTACAATTTACTTTAAAACAATTGTCTTCAAACAGAGAGAACTTACTGGTAACCCCATTGGTCCCATCTGTCCATCCTCGCCCTTTTCTCCCTATGATGAACGAAAATGAAACATGAAAGAGAAGCAATAAAATTTAAAAATCTACAATCGAAAAATAAATACATCAGACTTTATTCAATTTCCAGAAATAAAAATATTCATTTTTGTTCTTTCAGACCAAATAAAAAAAATAAAATATTATCATTTGCAAATATTTTTCTTAGATGAACCTACTGAAGGGAATGTATGTTCAATTCTGTGTGAACTTATTTGGCGGTCAGAGGTCATATCGCTACCGAATCACTCGGCGAGATGATATCTTGTTTACATATATTTCTGTCTGGATTCGGAACTATCAAGTTAAAAGCGATGACAAAGAGAAATTATTGAACATAGAGATATTTTTCATTCAACAGATGTTCAATAGATTGTCGGTGTGAAGAACGTTTTAAATACTATGATTAAACTAAAATCGCACTTTAGTAAATTAAAACAGGAGATATCCCCGCTTTTGACTTCAGATATATTAAGATTTCATAAAATAGTATGATTGTTATCAGTAGGGAGCATTGTTCTTACATTATAAACAAAGAATTCGACTGCTGAACATCATTGTAAATATTCAAATGTTGGAGCGAGACGAACTTTCAAGACCAAACAACTTCTAAGTCATTGTGCATCACAACATAAAATACGGCGGCCCGATAGTGTGATAAATGCAGTTTTACTCGGAATTTATTCATCTTAAATGTACATATAAGTGATAAAGAACAATGTTAAAAAGTTAAGTGGGAAATGAACTGTTGGTACGTGATCAATCTACTGAGAAGCCCTTCGGGCTTAACAGGATTTGATCACGTGACTAAGTTCATTTCCCACAGAACTTTTTAACATTGTTGTTTATTTCTTAAATAAACTTCGTTATACCTATCGAAGACAATGACATCGATTTTAAAATGTTCATTATTGAATAGGAGATTACATTTCTACTTACCATTTCTCCTTTTGGACCCTCTGGACCTTTTTCACCCTAAAATTGAATAATTGAAAGAAATCTGTCATTCTTACAAACAAATTGCATTACATTGAATATACATGGGATTGAAATTGCATTTGAAGTGATAAATGATTGGTTTGGTTTTTTACTACTCTTTTGATGCTCACTCCTTCATGGCACCTGATCCCACCTCTGATGTTTTGGATGTCCATGTTTGCTCAGTGCTCCTATTTTGTATTGTTTTATGGACTTTTGATCTTGAATACTGTTCGTTATCTCTATCTGTTTCATGCTTTTATGCAAGTAGTTACAATGTAACAATAGTAAAGCCAACCTTTATCCCTGGTCTTCCCTGTAAACCTACTGGTCCCTGTAGTAAAATGGATAGTATTAAACATATTACACAATTACTTTTTATTGAAATTGAAAAATGTTTAAAATTAAGGGGTTTTTTTGTGTCGCCATGTGGTAAATATTAAATAAAGAATTAAACCTGTGGACCAGGGGGTCCTGGTGGTCCGGGAATCTGGAAAAAAGAAGAGAAGATTTGGATTTATGCTGAATTCAAAAATAAATTAACTTGGTTTAGAGTTGATGTTACACAAACACAACAAATGGAACAACTTACAACTCGAGTAACTCCTTTCAAGTCCGAGCTGTTTATTATGCTTGTATCCCCCTAAAATAAAAAAAATACATATATAGTTATATTACCATGACACATTTACATCCCGTTTCTCTTTTCCCTCTATCACAAAAAATTTACAAACATCATGTTTTAACGAGGCAGTTTTTTTTAATTCAAATTATTTTCAAATCAAGTCTAAGATAAGATTTTAATTAAGTTTCATTCTTCATTAGGTTAACCATAGTTTGAAAATGTCGTAACACATTATTGGCAGTGCTTACTGGTGGGCCCGGTAGTCCTGGGGGACCTATCTGTCCGTCACGTCCCGGGGGTCCCTCGGGACCCTGATCTCCCTTGTCGCCTTTCTCCCCCTAAAAATGGATAGTGTTTTATAACTTACTTCATTATTTATGGACAAAAAAATTCCAGAAATATATTTATTAATATCCTAGATAAAGCAATATATATTCGACAGTAATGTGACAATTACAAACAGTGCTCAAAAATTCAATTCAAGCAATAAACATTCTGAGCAGAACCAACAAGGGCATCTAAAATAGAGGAAGGATCAGGTGCCATAGAAGAGTAAGCATCCCCTAATCATCACGTCACACCTGTCCGCTGCATAATCCATTCCTTGCCACGATCGGATACACGGAAAATTTTGTGTAAAAAAAACAATAGTTAAATATTCATGAAAGGCGTCAGTCAACACTTGTCATATTATATTTAATTTATTGAACAAGGTCATTGTATTAGCCAGAGAATCTGCAAAAGGTTGTCTTTAAACGAGATATAGTTGACATCCTCGTATCATCAATAAATAAGGTAAAGATGACTGTGGTCCACCTAAAATAACTTATAATCGATACAAATCTGTACACAGACCATAAGCACGTACCCCCTGGAAATTCCAGAGGTAGTATAGGGCACCTTTTTGGAACTTACTTGTCAATAACTTGCCTTGATATAGAAATTGTTCGTATATGTAGAAGTAAGTCTTGCGTTTGAGGTAAACTCAGAGACATACACTCCCTATGCATATTTAATTATATAATGCGACATAAATAAGGAAAATTGAGATAGAAAAGTTGGTATGACTTTTATAATAAAGCCATCAATACCAAAATTATTTTACTCTGAAACATAACTGTTATTTTATAAAACGTCATCAATATATCTAAATGTTGAACGAAATGCCAGAGGAATATCTTTTCTTTACATTGAGACGTTCTTCACAATAAATTCTGCTTCATATGAAAACAAAAGCAGGTTTGTTAATAACAGATGTTATTAGTACCCATGGGAATCTCTAGATCTGATATCTCAAAAAACACATGGATAATGTCAATGAGAAACACAGCCTTGGAGTACTTGTACGTAGAATCAAAGTAATTACACAAAATAAATGTTTGAAGATGACCAAGGACAAAATATGCAAGTTCAAGAGTTCGATTTTTAGAAAGTATTTATTTATGATTTCAAAGTGAAATGGTTGTATTAAGTGTTGATACTATTGATGTTGGTAAAAATTGCTGATTTTAAATTTTCCTTAAAAATTTCTTAGAGTTTCAAGTACCTCTTGCACCTCTCAAAATATGTTGTTGTACATAAATCAATAAGTTTCCCCTTCAGTGTTGTTAATATTTAAGTAAGAAAAGAGATGTTTAGTATAACATAAACATAAACAAGAACCCACTTCTATGGCACGCCAAATTCACAAAAATCAGATAATCATAGTTTCACAATCGATAAACTAGGTTTATCGGTTGTAAACTATAGTTTACAAACCGTAAACTATAGTTAACAACGTTAATCTATATTTCACATCTGTAAACCATAGTTAACGCGATAATCTATGTTTCACAACCGTAAACAATACTTAACACCGAAAACAATCATTTGCGATTGCAAAATATAGATTATCTGATAAATACATTTTCACGATTTGTAAACTATAGTTTACAAACCGTTAACTATAGTTAACGATCTGATAAATATAGTTTCACGATTTGTGAAACTATGATTAACAACTCTTAACTATAGTTTACGATCGTAAATTATAGTTAACAGACGGAAATCTATGTTTATCAACAAAATCTATTGTTAACGCTTTATTACAGACAGATAAACTTAAATTAACATTCGTAAACTATAGTTAACAACCGTTAAATATAGTTTTACAGATGAAAACTATACTTAACGAATCGTTAACTATAGTTTACGGTTTGTAAACTATAGTTTACAGCCGATAAGCCTAGTTTATCAATTGTGAAACTATGATTATCTCATTTTTGTGAATTTGGCGTGCCATACACTTCGTTTGTAAGAGTTTTTACGACGTTTAGGAATTTAGCATAGATAAGGTTATTTCAGTTCATTTTAATTATTAGAAATTTTTGAAAATCAAATACAGCGTTATTTTATCCATTTCAATATTAATTAATATTCATAATTTGTGTAATATTAAGCTTCAAGTGTTAAATCAAACAGATATAGCTAAAAATAAAATTGAAGGATACAAATACCATATATAATGTTACAGAATTTTACGGTGAAAAACAATCGAAACAGATTTAGCAGATAATTCAACCTCTAATTACAATATAGCTCTACAATACTGTTTTCATAGATATAGAAAATGATACTTTCATTGAGATAGAATACTAGTATGTTCAATGGCGCAAACACTATCTAGAATGAGTACTTTGATTAATTTAAAGGGCGATATTTGTTAGGGTTAGGGTTATTTACGTGATGCATTCAATTCGACTTTCCTTATTTGAGTAGCAATATACATGTACCCCTACCACCTGAGTGTGGTTAGGTCTCCCATTTTCATGGTTTCTGAAGAGCATGTTCTATGTACGAACATTTTTTTTCTAAAGTTAAATTATTATAAAAACAGGATAATGATCAAGGTTATCATCAGTTTCATTTAAATACAATAGTTCGCAAATAGTCGATACAATGACCTTGTCAGCATATACAATTTATCATTACGTCGAATGCTGACTCAAGTTTTCTTTTTTTTTGGCCATTATTTACACACTCGATTGTCTACAGATTTTCCCATTTGCTCGATCATGACAAGTAGCACATGGCGGGTTAGACAGGTCGTCAGGGGATGCTCACTCCTTTATGACATCTGATTCAAATATATGATGTTTCTACAGGTCCGTGTTTGCTCTGTCCTCAATTTGTATTGTTTGAATGGAATTTTGAGCTTGATTACTGTTCATTATCTACATATTTCACTCTAGTCTTTCATTAAAATAGATATAATAAGACAAAGGCTTGTATTCTATTTACATGTACTATAAAATAAACTCCATCTGACAAGTCTAGATGAGAGACAAAAATCATCAAAATTTTACCAAGATGAAAAAAAAATATTGAAAGACTTCTCGAGAGTTATTAAAACTTAGAATGAGATTCCTAAACTTTATTAAGACGTCTTTCCCTCTTTTTGTCAGAAGAAATTTTTATATAGAAATATCATCTAGAAGCTTGATAACAATGATTGACCATGATATAAAATTAATTGTGGCATTGTTACAATTTCTACAATTAGAGGTCAAAAGGTCAGTTGTCATACTTACGGGAACTCCTCTGATGCCTGGTTTGCCATCTTTCCCAGGAATACCCAATCCTCGCTCGCCCTAACGTAATAAAGGAAACACGGATGTCAATTGCCCAAGTACAATATAGGTCAAAGGTAAGTCGTTTTTGTAAAGAATAATTGAGACTCATTTATGAAAACAACAAAAAACTCATCTTTCATCGCATATTCATATCTACATTTAATTTTTCTATATATTATAAATTAGGGTCTGGGAGCTAAAGAACAACATTTGTACGCAGTCACAACGCATTTGTATTGCAAATTTATTAGTTATTCAATGACAATCTAAGAAATCTCCTTTTTCTTCTACCCGCTGATGAAAACAAAATCGGGATTCCGCGGATTTAGAACTTCTTAGAAAATGAAGTGTGAAAATGTGCATCCATTTCTTCAAACATTGTTATTTCATTTCTAGAGTATCAAATATCAACTTTCTTATATATGGATACATTATATAAATATAGCCCTTTGATGAAATCAATCCATAAATATATCGACTTCAAAGAAAAGCTTATCGACCGAGTACGAAGTGAGTACAAGGTCGATATGCTTTTCTGAAAAGTCGATATATCTATGGATTGACCGAATTAAAGGGTTACATTTGTTATATCATTTTTCTACGGATATTGACAAAACAAAATTTGAAGATAATGGTAACTAAAAGTTTTTCTCTTGTCTTTTCTAACACATAGAGACTATCAAAATAAAATAAAATAAATATTGAAATTTAATTTTACTACGTAACAAAAAATACAGCCTACCTGTTCCCCTGGTGCCCCTTCATCACCTTTGGCACCTTTTTCACCCGGAAGTCCTCTTTTACCCAGAAGTCCCCGTGGCCCTGGTCTCCCAATACCTCGTTTTCCTCGTTTACCCTTATCGAGGAAAAAATATGATGTAGATTAAAGGATAGGTACGTTTTTAATTAAAACAATTCAACTTTTAAAAAAATTTTATTTGGAGATCACATAAAAAGATATTTTAAATCTTGCATTGAAGTTTTACAGAACCATGCTGCTTGAAGCAACTCGATCTTAATAATGTAACATCCATCCAAGTTAATAATATGTATGCTAGAAGCAATCATATTAATTCTTCCATTTCCATTAAAAGTTGGTATGTTCCCAATTGGGAAAGTAGAGTTATGAAATCATTAGAAATCAAAAACCTTTAATGTTGTTTTGATTACTATAAAGTAGGTTTTAAAACTGTTAATATTTAAATTATTTTTGTACATGCACAACTTCTTCATGCAAACAGATTTAATTGAAAAAATATGTTAATGGTAGTCTAACAACCATCTGAAACTGTATGATAAACGTGATGACTTAACTTTTCAATCGTCAACTTCCCTTACTTATGCAGCAATATACCTTCATCATCAGCATACGGCGTTTAGATCTCTCAGTTGATACGATAGACAAGGGCATGCACTACGTTTGAATAATTTCTAAAAACAAGTAAATTGGTTAGCAATTTACCTTTTTTAGAAATTTTCATTTAAAGTCATCCTTTCGTGAGTTCTAAGGTCGATAAAATTATGTTATCAGTAAATAGAATTTATCATTAACAATTATCAAATGCTGACTGTCGTTTTTCATACTAATTGTTAGGTCATTTTATGCAAACTGTCGACGGATTTTCCTGTTATTTCCCGATCATGTCAAGGAGCACAAGGCGGGTGTGATCGGTCGGCGAGGTGTGCTCACCCCTCCATGGCACCTGATTTCATCTGATATTTTGAGGTACGTGTTTGCTCTGCTCCAATCTTGTATTGTTTATTAGACATTTGAGCTTGAATACCATTCGTTATCTCCATACATTCCATCTATAAATACTATAATTTCGGATTCTCTTACTTCATACAAAGAAACTGTTACTAAACATTTTGATAAGACAGAACTACGTATAACTGCAACAAACCTTAGCAATGACAAAATAGGATGAGGAAGATCTATTTTTTAAAAAAAGCCGGCTTTATGTTATTGCATTTTCATGATTTTTGCAATCGTCCTCGAGAAAATATTTGCACCCAGAGAAGTATTGAAAAGAGCAAATGTTTCTTTAGACAACAAGAAGTAAAAAATATTATTTGCACAAAAGGAGATGGGTGAACATGTCGACAGATAAGCCCATAACGCGACAAACATTAAGGTGAAAAATTAAATCTCAATCTTATCAAAATTTTCCTTAATATTTCATATAACATTTAAGTATATTTCATGTAAAATCTCTACAACTTGCTCAAATCTCATGAAGTTTGAAGTTATTTGCATTTGAATTATTATACACACACGAAAGAGGACAAAACGAGTCATTTTTTTCACACTATAACACTATTTTTCGTTATAAGTGGTTCTTCTCTCCATTTTTTTGAAAGATAATCCTCAAAGTTTGCATAAAAACATACATATTTTGGTTTCCAAAATTATGGAGCAAAGACCCACTAAACCTTAAAAATATAATTTTATGACATATCTTTCGTATCTTTTAGAGAAATACTAGAAGTCCCTTAAGTCAATGGTCATATCACAAACACTTCATACTTCATTAGGACTTGTGTAGCGTAGTGGTTAGCGTGCTGGTCTCAAAAGAGAATACAGCTCAGGCTTTTTATTGCCAGGGTTCGAACCCAATGGATACCACATTATTTTTTTTATATCAAAGAATAAATTTTAACGAAAAATTTTCCTCAAAACTTTTTGTTTCTCATGATTTCATAAAAATCAATGATGAGAACTTTACTCTAAATACTAAATTCACAATTTGAATATGATTCTTATATATCTGAAGCTATTGGGCTTTCTGCACGCTAAGTTCACCCATCTCCTTTAATTTTTTTTCAACCTAAAGTTTTAAAATGTTGTTTCTATAAATGTTGATAGAGCTAAAATAAAGCAACTGTGTTCATCAGTTGATTGAAATACTCACTAAATATGAAACTCAACTTGTGCAACATCTTCAGTGATAGCTACAGAAAAACAAAACTACATGTATCTATAAACATAACACATGCCGAACATAAAACAACATGCAGACCACTGAACACTTTGTTTTTACTATTCATTCATGTTTTATTAGCAGGGTGTACATTCGCACCACTTTGATATTTCTTTACCTTTTTGCCGCGCCTCCCTCTGTCACCCTTTTGTCCTCTGACACCTGGTAATCCCGGTAGTCCTATTTCACCCTTCATGAGGAACAAATTCTTTGTTATATAGAGCTTGACATTTTTAATTGAGTAATTCTTTGATAGATTTGCAACTTTCAACAGCGCATTGTCAAAATGGTTATGCTATCTAGAGTATTATTTATTATTTGCCAATATATACTATTAATCTATATAGTATGAGATAAATGAACAATTTCAACAATTTTAGATTGTTAAACTTGGAAATACATGACTGCAAATACAAACCTTCTGCAAGCTGAAAAGATGTTAGTTGATGCAATATGTTAGTGGACTGCAGCAAATACATGAACATGCAGAAAAAGCAACTTTCAGTTTTCCCGCCACCAAGGATAGCCACCGAATACCTCCACTAATTGCCTCCTTCTTGAGCGCCGTCTGTTGGCACAGCCTCGATTTCGTGATCGTCTCTGACGTAATTGATCCTCGCCCTCATCCGAGTCAGGAGAGGATGGATCTCCCGATTTTACAGCACTTGACAACACCTCCATGCGACATGTTCTCGAATGGCGCTTAAGGCAGACAATTTTGAAAGTTAAGCAGCGTTATTTATTGATTATTTTGTATTTGCTGCAGTCACCTTGATTTTTTTTCAAATATTGCTGCATACACACAAGGTACAGTTTCTGCAGCGCAATCTTTCCAGTAAAAGCTGATTAGTAACCTATTGAGACCATCGCAGGATGATTAAGCTCACCCGTGGTCCTAAATCCCCTTTCTCGCCCTTTATATACCCTGCGGGATAACCCCTTGAATTGGGTACAGATAACATGAGACCAGCTACCTGAAATAAATTTCATTTTAACTGTACCTCAGTTCTTATATTTACGCCTTAGTTTGGCCCACAAACTATCAGACATGCATATAATGCGTCCCATCTCCATGCTTATGATCGAATCTAAATTCTTACAATTTAAGATTAACTATACCAATGCATTCTTTCTATCAAATTAAAACCTATCGGTCACACTGTCTTGACGCCAAGCAACTCAACATTTATGACGTCATGCAATTGCACATGCTCCGAGACTTACTTGCTGACCTTTAGGACCTGGAGGTCCTGGGTCGCCTCTACCGGGGAGACCTTGAACCCCATTCGATCCCTTTATACCCTATCATGAGGATATATTGGTTGGAAAGAAAGTATAAATACATGTAGGTAAGATATCCTACTTTAAAGATGTATTGGATGGAGAGAAAATATGAACTGAACTTCTCACATTAACTCTTCAATCAAATATCAGAAACTTACATAGGCCTTAGATATTTGCCATTTTTTATCATGACCCATGGTAAACCCTAATCAATTTTTAATTAATTTCATTTTAATGCATGTATTTATTTATAATTTAAAGGTTTTGGACTTTTTTTTTAGTAATTTAAGGATATCCTCCTTTTAAAGGATAATTTTCAAATCCTTGTAGAAAACGTTAAAATCAAAAATTCAAATTTTAAAATTTCCTTTTTTTAAGATAATCTATAAATTATAAGGCAAAATATTGCCAGTAATTCTTACCGGTACTCCCGGATTGCCAGGAACACCCTACGAAGGAAAAAATAAATGTCTACTTCAGTGGTTCTATTTCACAAAAGTACTGACTTAGATTTCATGTCATACACTCAATAATCTACTTACTCGATCGCCTTTAGGCCCAGGGGGTCCCTGTAACAAAGATACCCCAATATAGATTAATAGGGGAAATGGGTAAAAGTTATTCTAACCTGCTTAAGGAAAATGAAAATAAGGGGCACGATATTTGTTCATTACCTAATAAACATGCAAAAAAGTATAGACTTTAACAAATTTCTATACAGTTTTCATAGTTAAAAAAAAAAGAACTGAAATTTTAAGAACAGGTTTAATAGATTCTTTCTGAACTAATGAGAAAGGAAACAAACCAGAAAATAATATGCCTGATGCAGGATGAGACCATGCACTAAAAGGACAAACAGTTTTACACAGAGATAAAAAGGAAAAATCTTTATGTTCTTCTAAAATCATTTCAAACTTTAAAATGTTAGTGATGCACAGCATGACTTGAAAAAAAAGTTAAGGTTTTCTGCAAAACTTAAAAAATTATTTACCTGTGGTCCGGCTGGTCCAGGTAGGCCATCAAATCCGGGTAACCCTGTATCCCCTTTGGGTCCCGGTGCACCTGGATCGCCCTGCAACCCCTTGGAGCCCTTCTCCCCTGGTTCACCCTTAATATAGTTCATAAATATTTATTGGCCAAGACTCTGAGAGATTACAATAAAGTACTGTAATCCGTCTCTAAAGAATATGGAAGAATAGGGCCATGTATTTGGCCTTCATCTACTTTTTAATGATGACTGAGGGAAAAAATAATAAAATGGCTCTTATTAAGACTACTTCAAATGAGAACTGATTCTCAATATAAAATTACGGATAACAGATACATATTCATTTTTTTTAAATTTTAACTTAAACCACACAAACACATGCACATGAATACAGAACACAAAGTACATATAAACAGGCACCTATTTATCAAGTGTTAACTACCATAAACAGTTACAAGCTAATGCAATGTGCTCTATGAATTGTCCTTTCTTTTTACTTCTGTATACATGTACAGCTCTTAAGTGAAATCAAAAACAATTTTATATGGAGATACATGTACATGTATATGATTCTTGGTAAATTGGCTTCTATAGGCCAGCAATTTGCCTTTAGTAACTTTCATTGTTCGACTTTGAAATCAAAAGATTGCAGAATTCATGTCCAGAATATAAGCAAATAAAACTTTGAAACTTATTTTACATTTTCATCTGCAATATTTTCCAGTGACAAAAAAGAAATGACGATGTTGAAGAAAAATACATATATTTCCTACAAGAATGCGAAGAGATATCCTTATTATTGATGGTGTGAGCACTATAGACAAGGTTGTTTTACCGTACATCATAGGTTCTAAAAAAATAATGTTAAGCTAGAGTTATTGTTCCTGGCTGAGGAGCCTATTTCTTAATATACTATCATTGTTAAATATATCCCAATGAAATGTTTTAGAGGTTAGCAAACCAACCAATTAGATAGTTGAATCATTTAGGATATTAAACAGTACATACATGTACATACTAGTATATGGGTAATACATTTGATCATGTTAAGAACTGCCACAACTGAAAGTTTTCCAACACTACCTTGAGAATTTCGAGCTGCTGTTCTGCGTCCACTGGGGCGGAACTGGGTACACCCCTCGGTCCACGGTCACCCTTCAAGGAGGATCATGCTTCAGTCATGCATTCATGCAACAACATTATTTAATACCTAGTCATTCCACTAAATAATCAACATAATGCACTGTTTTACTCATAGATGCATGCAATATCAATCCATTCATGTTTTTTTTCTTTCTTTTTATTTGTCTACCCTTTACCCCATCCCACCACCACTCTTTAATTTCCGAAGATTGTTAGTGTTTATTAAAGGGGGTTCGTTTCACTCCTTATTTGTCTGTCTTTTATTTTAATTTTTAGTAGTTTATTTTATTACAGGAGTGGGGATATCCAAATCTTTAGCTATATGTTTTCATTTATATGTTTAGTGCTTTCCTCCTTTTTTCTACCCTTTTTTATTTCTTTTTTAAGAATAGAAAGTCTGACTCAGGTATTCTAATGGCCGGTTGCGTATCTCGGATTTAAACCTACGATCAATGATTCCGGGTTTAAATCCAAGTTTTCGCGTTGCACGCATGTAAGGATTGGCTGAGTACGGTTCAGAATTACGGTAAATTCTGAACCTGGTGTAGGGGTGGATTAAACCCAGCTTTACAACGTTTCCATGGATTTTTTTAATTGAATTTAATTTTTTGGGTAGAATATTTCAATAATTTGAAATATTACGATGTTGCTAAGGTGTTTTATGGTAATGATGATTGCATTGATAGATTTTGCAGTATTAAAAAAGCTATTCTACAAGAAAAATTTTATGGCAATATTGCATGTTGATTTTTCTTTTTGCACAAATTCTCAACAGCTGTTCAATGTGCCGTTTTAACACTGATGTAGCTGTAGTATAAAGTTTTGGAAGATACTTTTAAAATACATAAATGTACATAAACAGGAATTTTATAGAAACTTTCTAATATACCAAATTTAAATCAAATTAAAAATTTTAGATTTTCGTCAACAGCTTATGATACACATTCCAATAATTTCTAATAATGCCGAATTCCCTAGAGATAAAAAGTCTTTCGCTTATCTGGCTATCTACACGGCCGTAGGAACCGGGTCGGGGGAGGAAGGACATGTTCGTCCCCTATAATTTTGCCGCTGTATAAAATTCTCTAGAAAACATAGTATGTTTAATGTATTATAAGGTTTTTTTTCCATTTGATTTTAAACTAAAACTTTAGATTTATACATTGTTCCTTTATTATTTATATACATATATTGTGTTTTGGTATTGATTCCAAATCTTTATCCCTGTTTTCTTATGTTTTCAGTTTTTATGTTTGAGTTTCGATGAAAGATGCCGTGATTTCAATATATATCTTTGATTTTAATAAATATATCCTTTTAATGTTCAACCAGTTACTAGTGTATTAAAACTTGTTTTGAAATGCTGTAATATTAGGAAATCTTTTATCTTTCAACATCTTATATGAGTAAGTCAAGATTAGGTAAACCTTACTCAGTTTTATAGCGTGCAACAGCAATGCGACTTAGGTAAACCCGACTCAACTGGGGTTTAAACCCGGCTTACGTGATCTACGGATCAGCCACTGAGCTGTACTTATCTGAGCCATAGATACGCAACCGGCCATAAGTATAACAACGGCGAGACTGTAAAAGTATATGAGCGTGGAGATCTTGTATGTTAAGTTTACGTAACTTTGTGGTTTTAGATATTCACCACACATCACCAGAACTGATTATTTAACAGTTGTTTCCCAAACAACAGTTGTTTGTTGAATAAACAAACTTGTTATTTTGACTATGTTTTGTTTTTCCTTGATGTTTGAGTTTTCTCTCCAAATGATATCAAGTTCTCATGGATACCAAATAATTTCTAATGACTTGGTGTCTATATTACTTCTACAGGCATATGTTCTTAAAGATTGATTGTGCAAATAAGTAAAGATTTTTTCCTCCCATCATTTCGTTGTTTTGGATTATGTAAATTGGTAGTATTTCAACACTTTAATTGAAATTCAATTCTGAGGCAATATATGTGCTTTACTTTTTCATGCATTAAAGATGAATTGAACTTGGAAAAAAATTAAAATTGAAAAAAAAAATTGAACCTTACTAAAATTGAACTTAACATGGAAATATACAAAGCGATGTAATCCAATTGCATGCCTGTGGCAAGATTTGTTCATGCAAGAAGACATGTTTGACCAAAAGAAAAATTCCTGGGCAAGCGCAAATTACTGAGTATAAATTAAAATTAAATGTAATACACAACGCTGTAACGCAATCACACGTTTGTGGCAAAGTTTCTTCATGCAAGAAGACATGTTTGACCAAAAAGGAAAATTCTTGGGCATGCGCAAATTAACATGCAAGGTACCGACCTTTATTGTAATAACTTCATAAGACGCCCCCTAACAAAAACGGATATGTGAAAAAATAAGATTTTATTGACATTAGACATTTCAATTCTAATTTTGAAGAATTTCAGTGTCCGTTATATTCATTGCATTTTTTGTCACGTGATATTTGGTACCTTAAGGTCTACTATATTTCGGAACGTTTCGTCTTGGAATCGTATTGACCTTTTAACCCCCTGTAGAACAAAATTACATTGCAATAAATTTAATATAAAGTAGTACGATGTTGTGTTTTAAATGCATCAAAAGCATTTAGTGATTGGTTATAAATCCCTGCCGGGAACAGAAGTATTATATCAATTATACAATCCTTCAGGTTACAAGATACAGTGTAAATCAAAGGAAGATTAAAGATTCTGTGATAAAGCATCAATGCTACGAATTATCCTTAATATCAAATAAAAACACATCAACAAATAATCGAAATATCATATACATCTACATAAACATCTTATTCTGATTTGTCTTGAAATCGATCAAATTGCTATAAACTATGAATTTAGACTGAATTAGAGGTTTGTTTTCACCTTTGGTCCTGGTGCCCCGTCATATCCAGGTAAACCCTCATTTCCCTTGTCTCCTTTATCTCCCTGAAACACAATAAACGTGTAGTAATGTCGAGTAAAATATAAAGAAAAATATAGTTATTATTTCATATATTTAATTAAGAATTTGTCATACCTTTGGTCCTCTAGGACCCGGTTCACCAGTATTGCCCTGTGGTCAAAATTAACAATTATTAATGTTTTGTAAACTATAGTGTTGTGTTCAAATAAAATAATAGATAGATAATAATAATTTAAATACACACAATAAAACGCAAAATCAGAGACTAATCAGTACAGAGTTATCTACCTTTGGTCCTGTTTGCCCCATGGGACCCTGCAACATACAAGGAACCAATGATATTTAAGAAATTGTGATTTTATCTCATGTTAGTTGTACATGCAAACAATCTCTATGTTTAATTTAGCCAATTACATACATGTCCTAGAAATAAGAATAACCGAATTCAAATTGTATAACTTTTAAAAACTACTTATTAAAATAATAACAACTTTAATTTTCTTGAATGAAAAATATTGCCTTATCTTTTGCAGCCTTTCAAAACATAAGTTTATGCATTTACATAGCATCCATTAGGATTCATATTTACTAAGATACTAATGTTATATCTTCGGGTTAAAGATAATAAAAAAAAAATGCATTTGACAAATAAAAGAACAGAAAATCGTGCTTCTGGTTGTTAAGGAATTTGAAGTGGCCCAAAGAAAAATAAAACTGAGAACAGACTGTAGTCATAATTTCAAATTGATAAAACTTTCCAAATAATTTTGATAATCAAAATAAAATTTTCATCATATGTTTCAATTGAAGCGTTTTGCACAACTGCATTTTTTAGCTAATACATTGAATGAAACATGATATTATAAATCAAAATTTTGACTTAAGTTCTCAGTTCGTGGTGTTGGGACCTGAACTGATGAGAAGCATTTATTGTGAGATACATATATTAGATAAGTATTAAATAAGTGTGAGTTAAGTTTTAGTATTATCAGCGGGTATTTTTATGTTATTATTGTTTCTTCATCACAGTAACAAACTGAACATTCGAATTTGAAAAAAATATCGAACATAAAAATTATTTCAAGTACTCATAAAATCGAATATAAGATGGTGATTCGAAGTTAATATGCAATCATTTTTTCTCATTCTGCATTTGTGACATTTTTTTTCAAATCATGCAGGTTTTATTTGTGTCGAGTAACAGTATAATTATGTTGTGCTTTAAAATAAAATAATTTTGATGTAAAAGTCAAACGGACCGGAAACCCTGGGTAGCCGATATCACCTTTGGGTCCCTGAAAAATACATCCAAATAACTGCCTACTCAATCACTAAATCAATCAAATTAACAACTAATTCAAAATTAATTTCTTATTCAACCAAATCACTATAACAAGTGTATCGCAAATATAACTAATTACTAGTATTAATTCAACTAAATATCTAAAAACTAATTAAAAAATGAAGTTACTTAAGTTTAAATATTATTGAATAAAACTACAGACTAAACACGATGCAAAATCTCCATGTATTCTAATTCCTACATTTTAAGATCATGATATTTGTATAAATTTCTAGTTATTTTTCACGATTCAGTTGCAGTTAAAACTTCATTTATCCCATCTTGAGATACTGCATATGACTTATTTGTAGCTCTATCCCAGCAGATTAACATAAGTACATGTAGGTGCACTTTACTAAATTACCAATCGTTAAACAAATTGCAGAACTACTTTCCGCGATCTCTTTCTTTTAAATGGTTGTCTGTTTTATGTTCCATGCATTTGAAACAGAATAAAGACATTTGTCAAACTCTATGCGTCTTCATCTATACATCGTTATTCTTCATCAAACAGACACAATTGCAGTAGGCCAATCAGAGGTGCATTTATGCCATGTTAACTGCATCAGCAGCTGCCTGCAATAATGCGTTGAGAAACCACAGATCCACAAAATAGACATTTACACGTGTGCTACCCGAGGAAGAAAGAGCATACCCCCTTGGAGGGCTGACATGAAATGAATCTTAAAGCCCTCTTTTCGACATGGGAGGCATAAGCTTGAAAAAGGGAAAACTGTTAACTTTAAAAAATGTAAAATTTGCTTGATGGGAGTTGCCGTCTAGTTTTAGGAGAAATATGAGTAATTTGCACTAAGGAAATTACCTACAGACAGCCTTGAACTACAGTAATTATCTAGTCTTGTTGGTTATAATGAGCTAAAATACTACTATTAATTATGATGAATTAGTTTTAACCTACCTACGTGATAAGTGAAAGCAGGCATATCTTACAGATTGGCTTAAACATTTATTATAAATTATTAGATATATAAAGATTGTTATTCAGCATCCTTTAATATGAAAACCATTATTAAATAAAGTAGTTATATACCCTTTAAAAGAAAAGTAGAGGTGAGATAATAAAGCCAATTCCCTTCAGTAATATAAGTTAAAATTGTTAATTTTTATGATCATTGTAAATAAGAAAGAAGAAAAGATAATGTTGATTTTTAACAATACCGGAAACCCACTGTCCCCCTGAAACACATTATGACATGTACATTTGGTTTAAAGAAATACATTTTTCCAATTTTCTTTATTCATATTCATTTTTATCGAATTAAAAACCCATCAAAAACAATAGTTACCCTTTCGCCTTTTTGACCTGCAAAAGAAAATTTATCATTAGATTTTATGAATTTAATTATGTTTTTTAATTTATCTAAAAAAAAAATAAGTTCAGTAGTGCTATGTTGCAACCACTATTGAAATAACGACCACTATTGAAATAATCATATCAGTAGTGGTTGAGAGTGCATTTCAATAGCAAACATAGTTAGTAACCACTTTTGAAACACGACCACTATTGAAATAATTACATCAATAGTGGTTGAGAGTGCATTTCAATAACAGACATAGATATAAACCACTTTTGAAACACGACCACTATTGAAGCAATTATATCAAAAGTGGTTGAGAGTGCATTTCAATAACAAACATAGATATTAACCACTATTGAAATACGACCACTGTTGAAATAATTACTTCAATAATGGGTGAGAGAGCATTTCAATATGATAACCATAGGTTTCAACACTATTGAAATACGAACACTATTAAAATAATTCTCTAATTGTGGGGAAGAGTGCTTTTCAATATGATTACCATAGGTTTCAACCACTATTGAAATACGACCAGTATTGAAAGAAAAGTTTCACCGCGTAATTTTTAATTTTTTATCCAAATTTTAACAAAAATTGGATTATGGGTGAAAAATATATACATGTAGATTAATAATTAAAGTGTGTAAATTAATAAGGAAGGTCTACAATTTCTTTATATTCTAGCAATATATTTTTTGCATCATTTTCAATGAAATCAAACCAAAAAATATATACCAATCCAGGCATCCATATTTTGTTTGTATCATCTGTCCTTAAATGAAGATATAGATAGTTATTGAAATTATAATTTCAAAAGTGATTTAAATAATTATTTTGATAGTTGCTGATAATATTACAAAACTAAAACCATAATTTAATCCATATTGAAATCTTTATTTCAAAAGTGAACATTATTTCAATAGTGGTTGCAACCTATGTTTGTTATTGAAATTAATCTCACCCACTATTGAAATAATTATTTCAATAGTAGTCGTTGAAATAAAGTAAATGAATCATTGTCAATTTAACTGGATGAAAATCTACAAGGCATCTAAGTAAACAAATCAGTTGTGTCTTAAAGCATTGTTCTTCAGTTTTTGCAATGACGTCATGATCAAAGCTGACAAACTACACTATACTGAAATTTTGATGACTTTAACATAATGTTTTTGATAATATATATATACAAAAATAAAGATTTTATTCTGCGTCAACTTCCCGGTAAAAATAACTAGAGAATATACAAGAAAATATCTTCATCACCTGCATACGGAGTTTATATCTTTCAATTGATTCGATAGGCAAGAGCATGCTCTACGTATGAACAATTTCTAAAACGAGGTAAATTATTGACAAACAAGTTGATGGACAAAAATTTCATTTAGTTGACTAAAGTAATCATAAATTTCAGAAGTCACAAGTGTCTATGGTCCTTAACTGGTAATAAACACACGTATGACCTAAATTTAAGTCAGCCAATACAATTTATTTTAGCAAACATGAAGCGTGACGTTTTTCATACTAATTGTTTGTCCATTTGTTATTTATATATACTGAAATTTGACGAAAAAGTAGTGAAACTTTCAGAACGCAGTGATGATTATTTTTCCACTTTATTTCCCTGATGACTTTAATCATGACAAGGAGTACACGGCATGGGTGTGACAAGTCGGCATGGGATGACCTTGTCAGCCAATACAATTTATCTCAAATGCATGGCACTTATTGTTAGTCCATTATTTATACACTGAATTGACGACTGATTTTTCTGTTATTTCCCGATCATGACAAGGAGAACACGGCGGGTGTGACAGGTCGGCAGGGGATACTCAGTCCCCCATGTTTGCTCTGCTCCCATTATGCTCGTATCGTTTTAAGGACTTTTGATCTTGGATACTGTTCGTTATCTCCATATGTTTCACACATTTACATTTCCACAGACGTCACATTCATGAATGTCATCTTTATTGTAATGAAATCATAGGCATACAATAAGGAGATAATAATTAATAATTCAAATCAAAAGTCCTTTGAAACAAAAAAGAAAGGAAACACAACAAACAAGTGCCTCTTGTTACATCAGAGGTGGGATTATGTGCCATTTAGAAGTAAATATCTTCTATCGTCACGGGCTTCTTGTCATGACTGGACAAACGGGAAAATCCGTAAACAAATCAGTTTGTAAATAATGACCCTAGAATTGTAATGAAAGACATCAGTCAGCATTCGACTTAAGGAGAAATTATATTTGCTGACAAGGTCAATGTATTGACCATAAAACTTCCAAAATTTTGACTTTAAACGAGACTGTTGATATCCTTGTTTCATCAACATGTTTTTCAAAGGTCTTTCCTAGATTTAGAAACTATTCTTTATTAAGATCATGCTCTAAAAGTAGTGAATTTAGAAACTATTCTTTATCAAGATCATGCTCTAAAAGAAGTGAATTTAGAAATTATTCGTTATCAAGATCATGCTCTAAAAGTAGTGAATCATCTATGGGATATAAAGTCCATATGCAGGCGAAATGTGTATATGCTATTAAAATAAGAAAAGTTGACGATAGTAAGTTGAAACTAACATATGTATGATAATGTTTTGGTGTTAGGTTACCGTCTTTTTCAGGTAAAATGTCCAAAATATGAAACTGAGTGAATTAATAATACGTCTAAATTTGAGTTGAAGGCCAGAGCAAGAGTTTCTTATTTTCACGTACATGGTTTTGAATAAATTCTTATTCATGTGAAGACAAAGATAAAGTGCAAAGGATTAATGAAACTTGTTTGTTAAGCATTCTTCTATTTCGATCTAGAATGTATATTTCTGGATAAATACTTTATTACAAGACTTTATATATATTATATTGTCAAAACTTCTTTGAGATTAGTTTAAGAACGTTCCTTGCAAATTATATATAAAAATTCTAAAGTTTAGAGAACATTATGTGAAACAATATAAAGACTTTCTCTAAATTCCAGTTCCGCCTTTCTGACTGAAACACATATCTTCTTTATTAAGAAAGGGTTGGAACTCAAATGAACAGGAATTAACGGTATGCTTTCAAGTAAATTCCGACATTATTTTGTCAAATTTACAACACATTGTGTACGAATTGTATAGAATTTGTAAAACATGGTTTATTACACAAACATTCGTTTACATTGAATAAATATCAAATACCGGTACTTTTGCCTGTGAACTCCTGTTTTTCACATGCGTCCTTTTTGTTTCTCGGGTCTTTCATTTAAATCATATTTCGTTTGTTTTATAAATTTCTTGACATTCATATATTTTTTGATAAGTAACTGAAAGTAATTTTTGAAATTCAACGAATTAAAGTTATATAGGTAGTATTCAATACTTTTTTACTTCTAGAATTTAAGAAAAGGAATTCACACAAGTGAATAAAACTGGTTGTTGACAGTTAAATTGCCTTTATTCTAAACCTTTAAGCAATATATTCATCAATTTTACTGCTCCAAAATTTAGCAAAGATTCTTTGTAAATTTAGCGAAGAACACATATAACTTTAAATTTGTGAAAGTCTAGACAGAGTTCATATTAAGACTATCGCAGGTTTATTCGACTTCATTCACAAAATTGGGGAACATCATTTCTTCAATGAACAAATATCAAAAGCGCACGCGTCACGGTTCTTCCATTTTCGTTTTATCACGGGATTCTACGCCACGCGCACCTGTTGATGAGATTTTAAGGGGGAGTGTTTTTGCACTTGCTTCTGATGTAATAATCCATTGCTTCTGTGATCATAAATACGGAGAAGTGTATAAAAACAAAGATAGATAGAGTGTACTTAAACGTCCTACCCCATAATTACGTTGTGCTTCATTGTTAAATTATTACACCTTTGGACAAAAAATAGCTATGTTATCTTCAGCCGTTCTGGATCGCTCTGCTCTGTCTATCTCAAATGTTAGGCAAACATTCTTTGGGATACGCTGCGCATTCATTTGATATGCTGCGTTAGTTTGTCTGTTTCATTTGCCAGTGTAAAACATTAATATTTCATTTGACAATTTATGAGTTTCTATTACTAATCTAAATGTGCTATCCTATTTTTTTTTACACTAGACGAGGGCTTACCAAAGTTAATTGTCCAACTACTAGTAACTCAATTCAGGATCAGTAAACTATACTGAAAATGAAATAGAAGTACTAGTAAATAGAAGTACAAAAATAATATGGACTAAACTTGTTTTTCAAAGAATTTTATTGGTATAGTTAACTGTTTAAATCAAAAGACTTCACACTGTCTATGTATGAATCTTGTATATTTCAAAGTGAAAACCCACATTGTCAAATTTCATTAAAGGCTATCTACAGTGCATTTAATTCCAATCCCAGAAAACATGCAGTCTTTGTATTTATGTAATTGGGATCTACCACAGAACAATTTAAGATTTGGAGAAGATTTCGTCCAGACTCTCCATTTCCCGTATTTAATAAGACATATGTTGCCAGTATGTAAACTTTATTTCAATTGTTTTGAGCATGAACCAATCACGCGTAATAAGCAGTATTACTGAGGTTTATCTCGGAGTTAATTCTTCAGTCATGGTTTTTACTATTAGAAGGAGCTTCAGGACTTGCGATTTGAAAAACGTCTTCTTTCTTTGCCAAAGCAACGGAAAAAAATTATATATATTGTTAAAAGAACTTCAGAACTTTCTATGAAAACAAAATCTTTATTATAGAATATAATGGTCTTATTTTGTCTGGCTTATGACGCAAAGCTGATATTCAAAAGAAATTCATCTGTTACAATCTTTTTTTCCATACTAATTTTATTATTCTGCAAGCAAAAGTCGAATAGAGACAGCATGGTATTTACCTGTAGACAAGACTCGGATTCTAATAATACTGTTATTAAATTGTTTTAAATATTTGAACAAACTCTTTAACATCCGTTTGCTTGTCCATGTTATTGCAAAATAAATGTTTAACTTTCAAGATAAACAAGTAAATGAAACAAGAATACAAG